CTGTTCATCACTTCATCAGTTCATCTGTTCATCACTTCATCTGTTCATCAGTTCATCTGTTCATCAGTTCATCTCTTCATCTCTTAATCACTTCATCTGTTCATCACTTCATCTGTTCACTTCATCTCTTCATCACTTCATCTGTTCATCACTTCATCTCTTCATCTGTCCATCACTTTATCTGCTCATCAGTTCATCTGTTCATTTGTTTATCACTTCACTTGTTCATCACTTCATCTGTTCATCACTTCATCACTTCATGTTTTCATCACTTCATCTATTCATTAGTTCATCACTTCATCTGTTCATCAGTTCATCTCTTCATCACTTCATCTGTTCATCACTTCATCAGTTCACTTCATCTCTTCATCTGTTCATCACTTCATCTGTCCATCACTTTATCTGTTCATCTGTTTATCACTTAATTTGTTCATCACTTCATCTCTTCATCACTTCATCTCTTCATCATTTCATCTGTTCATCACTTCATCTCTTCATTTCATCTGTTCATCTGTTCATCAGTTCATCTGTTCATCACTTCATCACTTCATCTGTTCATCACTTCATTTGTTCATCTGTTCATCACTTCATCTGTTCATCACTTCATTTGTTCATCTGTTCATCACTTCATCTGTTCATCTGTCCATCACTTCATCATTTTATCTGTTCATCACTTCATTTGTTCATCGGTTCATCAGTTCACTTCATCTGTTCATCTCGTCATCACCTCATCTGTTCATCACTTCATCAGTTCACTTCATCTCTTCATCACTTCATCAGTTCATCTCTTCATCAGTTCACTTCATCTCTTCATCAGTTCATCTGTTCATCATTTCATCAGTTCATCTGTTCATCATTTCCTCTGTTCATCTGTTCATCACTTCATCACTTTATCTGTTCATCACTTCATTTGTTCATGTTCATCAATTCATCTCTTCATCTCGTCATCACTTCATCTGTTCATCACTTCATCAGTTCACTTCATCTCTTCATCACTTCATCAGTTCATCTCTTCATCAGTTCACTTCATCTCTTCATCAGTTCATCTCTTCATCATTTCCTCTGTTCATCTGTTCATCACTTCATCACTTTATCTGTTCATCACTTCATTTGTTCATCTGTTCATCAGTTCATCTGTCCATCACTTCATCGGTTCATCACTTTATTTGTTCATCACTTCATCAGTTCACCTGTTCATCACTTCATCTCTTCATCAGTTCACTTCTTCATCATTTCATCTGTTCATCACTTCATCAGTTCATTTGTTCATCACTTCATCAGTTCACTTAATCTCTTCATCAGTTCATCTGTTCATCAGTTTATCTGTGCATTAGTTCATCACTTCATCTCTTCATCACTTCATCTCTTCATCACATCATCAGTTCACTTCATCTCTTCATCACTTCATCTGTTCATCACTTCATCAGCTTATCTGTTCATCAGTTCATCACTTCATCTGTTCATCACTTAATCATTTCATCACTTCATCTCTTCATCGCATCATCAGTTCACTTCATCTCCTCATCACTTCATCTGTTCATCACTTCATCAGCTTATCTGTTCATCAGTTCATCACTTCATCTGTTAATCACTTAATCATTTCATCACTTCATCTCTTCATCACATCATCAGTTCACTTCATCTCCTCATCACTTCATCTGTTCATCACTTCATCAGCTTATCTGTTCATCAGTTCATCACTTCATCTGTTCATCACTTAATCATTTCATCAGTTCATCACTTCATTTGATCATCGGTTAAGAACCAGAGAAGTTTTGATGACTCACTTCCTGTCAGCTGACTGCAGGCTCAGTCTTAAATGTAGTTCAGACTGTTGATCCAGTTTCTGTTGATGAACCTGCATCAGTCAGTCCACCACCTGAAGTCCTGGTCACAGGTCTGAGCCTGAGCTCTGGACCTGGACTCACTCTAAAGCTCTGAGACGTCCTGTGTCCAGGTGACCTGAGGTGGTCCAGCACCTGGACACAGGTCTGAGTGGAGACCAGCAGGATCTCTGGGAGCTGAGCTGGTTTCAGACTCAAAGGGGTTGGTGGTTTTTCTGTGAAGCCGGCAGCAGGAAGTGGAGACACCTCTCAGCTTAGAGGTACAATGGAGACCACATCGCGGTAACACTGGGCTCATTGTACCGACATCCTCCTCCCACCTCTCCACCCCTTTCCCCCCTGACTCCCCCCCTGACTCCCCTCAGCTCTTATTGTCAGCAGGGAGATGCTGCTCTGTTCAGGACAGCAGCAGCATCACAATCAGACCCCAGAGACTCTGAAGATCAGATCCAGACTGGTCCCTGTGTCTATGACAGACTCACTGTCTTCATCTTTACATTTCTGCTTGTTTCTGTGATTGGAGGAAGCCAAAGGCGCCGGTTCCTGATTGGATGAACAGATGGCCTGTTGTTGCTGCAGAGGCAGCAGGTGGCTCTGGGTTTGTTGCTGGACCTGGTCTGGCTCCACCTGGGATTTGGATGTGGTTTGATTAAAGTTTGCAGAGAGGAAGAGAAGCTGAATGTTACATTACATCACACTGCAGTGCATTATGGGAGATTAAATCATGATAACATGTTTTGTTTTGTTACTTTTTAAATCGTTACATTAATTTTCTGGTCTGGGTTAGTGTCAGCTTACTTCCTGATACATCTTGTGACATTATGACATCACAGTTTATTACATTGTCACTGTTGGTGACATCACATGTCGGATCAGCTGACCAGTGGACGAAAGTGAGGCGTTCAGTGACCAAGTGACAATTCATGAGTCATTTGTTAGATTTCTGAGGCCCTGCGGCTGCTCCTCCACTTCACTGGAGAGTTCGGCCCCGGAGCCCGAACGCCTGTCAGTTCACGTCACCTCAGCTCACCGCCGTGGATGGTGGGAAATGGGAGCGAGGGGGGAGGAAGGGGAGGTAATCACCCCCCCTGGAACAGGGGGCAGGAAGGTTGTTCCCAGGTCACATGACACATCTGTCAGTCCAAAGGTGTGGCCCCGGGCAATGACCGGCTCCAACGACACCTCACTTCAAGTTTGTCCTTCACCCCTGATGAGCAGCCAGCCCCCACTGTTATCAACCCCGACATGATGTGTGACCATACTGCTCTGTGATTGGCTGGAAGAGTCACAAACTGAAGCAACACCATCAATAATCAATCAATTGGACCAGGTCCTGATCCGCAGTGGACTCCATCAGGTCAGTGTTAGTCCTGGATCAGTGTTAGTCCTGGATCAGTGTTAGTCCTGGATCAGTTTTAGTCCTAGATCAGCGTTAGTCCTGGATTGTTGTTAGTCCTGGATAAGTGTTAGTCCTGGATCAGTATTAGTCCTGGATCAGTGTTAGTCCTGGATCAGTGTTAGTCCTGGCATTAGTCCTGGATCAGTATTAGTCCTGGATCAGTGTTAGTCCTGGATCAGTATTAGTCCTGGATCAGTATTAGTCCTGGATCAGTGTTAGTCCTGGATCAGCGTTAGTCCTGGATCAGTATTAGTCCTGGATCAGTATTAGTCCTGGATCAGTATTAGTCCTGGATCAGTGTTAGTCCTGGATCAGTGTTAGTCCTGGATCAGTATTAGTCCTGGATCAGTGTTAGTCCTGGATCAGTGTCAGTCCTGGATCAGTGTCAGTCCTGGATCAGTGTTAGTCCTGGATCAGTGTTAGTCCTGGATCAGTATTAGTCTTGGATCAGTGTCAGTCCTGGCATTAGTCCTGGATCAGTATTAGTCCTGGATCAGCGTTAGTCCTGGATCAGTGTCAGTCCTGGATCAGTGTTAGTCCTGGATCAGTATTAGTCCTGGATCAGTGTCAGTCCTGGATCAGTGTTAGTCCTGGATCAGTATTAGTCCTGGATCAGTGTCAGTCCTGGATCAGTGTCAGTCCTGGATCAGTGTTAGTCCTGGATCAGTGTCAGTCCTGGATCAGTGTCAGTCCTGGATCAGTGTTAGTCCTGGATCAGTATTAGTCCTGGATCAGTATTAGTCCTGGATCAGTGTTAGTCCTGGATCAGTGTCAGTCCTGGATCAGTGTTAGTCCTGGATCAGTATTAGTCCTGGATCAGTATTAGTCCTGGATCAGTGTTAGTCCTGGATCAGTATTAGTCCTGGATCAGTATTAGTCCTGGATCAGGTATGTAAAAAGACTTTTATTTTGAAGTAATCTAGACTTAGACACAGGACAGAAACTGGGGGGGTTCACTCAGACAGAGTGAATGCTGGGAAACGCTGCTGATTCAGATTGAATGTATAAAGATGAGTCTGTCCCTGAGAGATGTGAGACAGGTGGTCGTCAAGGTGATGTTGGCGGTTGCTAAGGAAGTGACAGTTTATGTTTCTGTTGCTATGTGTCTTCTCTGTGAACTCTGTCTTTCCCAACCTCTGAGACCTCACAGCCTGAAGTCCATGACAGAACAGTCGCACCTCAAGGGCAGCTTACACAGTTTTCATCAGTGTCTGAGGGGGAGGAGTCTGACCAGGACTCTCCAGTTGTTTCTGTCACTGTCCGTAAATAAAAGGGGGCAAACTCTGGCAACTTACCGTGAAGTGTGTGTGTGTGTGTGTGTGTGTGTGTGTGTGTGTGTGTGTGTGTGTGAGGAGAAACTGATGACGGCTGTAGTTTCCCTCTTGAGTCCAGATGCAGGTTTTGGTGGACGAGGTCTTGTGACCAGCTGAAGAGTCTCAGTCAGCAGTTTCACTTCTGCAAACTGTTCCTGGAACAGATCCACGATCCCTCTGAAGACCAGTCAGAGTGAGGCAATACCTGAGAGAGAGAGAGAGAGAGAGAGAGAGTGTGTGTGTGTGGGTGTGTTTCATTTCTTTATGTTACATCAGGTTACATATAAGGTTATTGTTGTGCCACATCAGTGGAAAGACATGTTTGTGATCTCGGATTTGCTGATTTGGGCAGATTGCGGCTGAATGTCGTACAGCTGGCTGTATCCTGGCTGTGTTCTGGCTGTATTATGGTTGTGCCCCGGCTGTGTTCTGGTTGTGTCCCAGCTGTGTTCTGGCTGTGTCTCGGCTGTGTCCTGGCTCTGTCCCGGCTGTATTATGGTTGTGTTCTGGCTTTGTCCCGGTTGTGTTCTGTCTGTGTCCCTGCTGTGTTCTGGCTGTGTCCCGGCTGTGTTATGGTTGTGTTCTGGCTTTGTCCCGGTTGTGTTCTGTCTGTGTCCCTGCTGTGTTCTGGCTGTGTCCCGGCTGTGTTATGGTTGTGTTCTGGCTTTGTCCCGATTGTGTTCTGGCTGTGTCCCGGCTGTGTTCTGGCTGTGTTATGGTTGTGTCCCTGCTGTGTCCTGGCTGTGTCCCAGCTGTGTTCTGGCTGTGTTCTGGCTGTGTCCTGGCTGTGTCCCAGCTGTGTTCTGGCTGTGTTCTGGCTGTGTCCCGGCTGTGTCCCAGCTGTGGTGTGGCTGTGTCCCGGCTGTGTTATGGTTGTGTTCTGGCTTTGTCCCGGTTGTGTTCTGGCTGTGTCCCTGCTGTGTCCTGGCTGTGTCCCGGCTGTGTTATGGTTGTGTTCTGGTTGTGTCCTGGTTGTGTTCTGGCTGTGTCCTGGCTGCCAGGCTGGTTTCAGTTGTGGAGGAGCAGAATGTGAGGGTTCAGCTTGTAACAGTTGGGCAGACTGTGGCTCAGTGTCACCGTTGAGTGCGAGTCTGAAGGTCATGAGACAGCAGCCAAAGTTCATAAACCGGATCAGGTTTCACTTTATCTGAAGCCCTGATCCTGATCCAGCAGAGACCAGACCGAGTGAAGCGTCACTCAGAGCAAGAGGGAGGGGGCGTTGGCCTGATGTGTTGAAGCAGGAAGTTAAAACACCTGCAGTCATCAATTATTGGAGGGAAAAGTTTTCCTCTGCCGCTGCTCGCAGGATGAAGGTTTTCATCGGAGAGGTTTAATAACTCTTCTTCCTCCTCTTCTGCTTTTGTAAAGACTCTTCTTCCACCTGGGAAGATGAATAATTCAGACCTTTTGGATATATACCACCACCCCCCCTCCTCCCTCTCCCTCCTCACCCTCCAGAGAGGCTGGTGGGCTGTAAACCCTCTAACCGCCTCATCACTGCCAGCACCAGTCTGAACAACTGTATCCATTATTCACTGAGGAAGACTTCTCTTAAGGCAACCTACATTTTCATATGGGGGGCGCAGCCTCAACACGCCCCCCCCCAGCCACAGAGACTGATGATTAATTGAAGCTTACACAGAGATCGAGTTTGATGGGCTTCAAAACGCATGTAGAACAAGATCTAGACTTCAAACCAGAATCTTTATTCTTTCATTTCTCCACCTTCTGCTGCTCCGTTCACTTATTTATATATGACTAGTTCTGTGTGTTCACACCTTCAACACACACACACACACACACACACACACACACACACACACACACCACACCGAGCTGCTGCAGCAGCTTCATGGTTGACTGATTGTGTTTTGCAGCAAAAACACAAGAAAAGAAAAGAGTTGTTCACACCTCTGACCTTCTTCTTCTTCTTCTTTGGTTCAGACACATTCTCCCCTCCCACACACACACACACACACACACACAGTGTTGTTGGTATCAGTGTCAGGTCTTATCAGGGAGTAGCAGCAGTGTTCTCTGTAGTTTTTCTGTAATCAGGCAACACACCGAGGCCGAGGTGAGAGGGGCGGGGCTTCAACTGACACACTGAGCTGCTGATAGGGTTAACGTTAAAATGAAGGTACATGTTCCAGTTTTAATTCAGTGTTAATTGTTCATTTGTCTCCTGTTGTAAAACACGTTCAACAGTCTCAAATCTTTGATGAATCTTTACAGATTTTTGTGTTTTTTGTCAACTCACTTCACCTTCATCATGGTTGTCTTCTTCTTCACAGCTTTCCTTTAATGTTCTGACCCATGTTCTGTTCAGGTTCTCAATTAATTGCTTTGTAAAATGTAAAAAAAATTGTAAAAAGTTTCCTAGAGCTTGAGGTTAATGTAAAGGTAATCTGAGCTGACAGTCAGTGTTGATGTGGATCTCTGTCGGCTGGAGCTCAGTCATCTCATACAGTGTTTGTAGTGTTGAAGACACGAGTCCCTCAGTGTGGACACGGGACATGTAAATACAGTGAAAGGGTTTCAAATGTCTGGTGTGGACCTGAAGTTCTCTGGTGCTCCTCTTCTCTGATGCTTCATACCAAGGGGTGTTTGGGAGGGTATAGGTGGCAGAGGAGGGTGTGACTGTATTTTTTATGGGGGGTGTTAACGTTCTGTTTTTAACCGACCTGCAGAGCTCAAGGTGTTAAAACCTGATTAAAGTCCTGCAGAGTGTTTGGTGTGACTCAACTCGTTCAAAGAGGAACTCTGCTGCTCAGCCTTCCTGTACTGTCAAACCTTTACTGATAAGAACACACACCACACACACACACACACACACACACACACACACACAGTTTTACTGTTGGTACATTTCATATTTACTGTACAGAAAACTACTCAGTCTCACCTGGTCAGTTCAGCTTTGTCTCTGTATTTTAAGATTAAAGGTCAATCATAGTATTTTCAGGTTTTATTGAGGCCTCTGAGTTTATCTTACAAATATCACGCTGAGGTCGTGATGTTACTGAATATCAGCCCAGCTGTGATTCGTTCAAAGGTACGAGGACAAGTACAGATATTCAGAACAACTTCACAACCTCAGTGTCATATTGCTTTGATACAACAGTTCTACGAGCGCCATATTAGTTCAATAAGCAACTACAGATTATGATTAACGTGTTTATTTCATAATTTCTTTGTCTACATCACCACAAATAGCTCCAACTGGACCGGAACTGGACTGTTGCTAAGCAACACATAAACATGTTCCTGACCTGCACAGTGACACTAGCTGCTACTTTCTCTACACGTTCCCTCAGGTGTTTCTGAAGGATCCACCTTCTTCCTTCATCCTCTCCTGACGACATCGTTTCATTCAAAAGATATTTCTGAAATATTTTCATCTTTGTTTGTTACGATCTGAGATCGGTAACGATGTTAATGTGACGCTGATTAACAGTTGATAGGACAGCTGTGAAGAGGAGTGATACGTGGAGTTAAAGTCCCAGTGCTGCTGTTCTATATATCACTCTCGTCCAATCAGATTCCTTGGTCGAGACTGACTGTTGTATAATATAGAATATTTAATATGGTTTCTTTGTGCTGGTTCTGATGGTTCTTGTACACTAGAACAGTTTCTATACATTTGGACAGTTTCCAGAGGTGAAGACGGTTTGTGTACATTCAGATGTTTTTTTTATATGCATTAAACATGTTTTATGATTGAACACTTTGTATCGTCCATGTTCGTATGGTCTGAATAGGTTCATGTGGTCTGAGTACGTTCGTATAGTCTGAGTACGTTCGTATAGTCTCAGTAGGTTCGTATAGTCTGAGTACGATTGTATAGTCTAAGTAGGTTCATATAGTCTGAGTACGTTCGTATAGTCTGAGTACGTTCGTATAGTCTCAGTAGGTTCGTATAGTCTCAGTAGGTTCGTATGGTCTCAGTAGGTTCGTATAGTCTGAGTAGGTTCGTATAGTCTGAGTACGCTTGTATAGTCTAAGTAGGTTCGTATAGTCTGAGTACGTTCGTATAGTCTAAGTAGGTTCGTATGGTCTGAGTAGGTTGTTGCCCTATTCTTCTGTTTGTCTTTAATGGGCGAGAGACACTCAGATTAATCACACTCTTCTCTCTCGTTGTTTTGCAGAAACATTTTTCTTGGAGTGTTTCAGAGTAAAATGTCCTGAACCTCTCTCTCTGTGGTTGGAGTTTTTTTTAGGCAGAGACATCTCTCCCCGTGCTCCCACCCAGCGAGGGGTGAATTACAGAGCGACTCTCCTTTTTTTGTTTTCTAAATGGTCGACCACATGGGGGAAAAGGCTGGGATGTGGTGACTGTAATTACGCAGCAGCCTGCCAACAGGTCGGCCATGGAAACTCTCACTCAGCCCCGCGCCCACAACACGCGGTCCCCACCCCACCCCACCCCCCCGTCACCACTGTCTTTGAGGGATTTTTCTCTCCATTCTTAGATCGTCCGTCTACAGTACATACCTCAGAAATGATTGGGTTCCTGGTGCCAGGACTTGGTCTAAAGGTCGAACTGTGTCAGACTCAGACTGAGGAGAATCAGCAGTTTGTTCAGTCCGATCCACTTCATCTGATCCTTCCTTCATTTTAACTTTGAGACGTTTCATGGTGGGTGTTGTTGGTTAGCCACAGAAACACTAAATACCTTTGTTAGCATGAAACTCTGTCGGACACTGGACAGTAAACCTGAACACATTCAGTTCACTGTGATAGAACAGTCCAGTCTGATCATCTGGAGGAACTGGAAAGGGAAAAGATGGAAACTCTGCCCAAAGAATGACATTAAACTTTTCTTAAATTTTCTTTAGTGCAAAAAGTGAATTTAACTGAATAGTCAAATATTTCAGCAGCTGCAACTCAGAAATAAATCTTTTGATCTTAAGTCGTTAGTTTTGATTCAGATTTTACATCCAAACATCAAACTCATAAATAAGAGTAGAAATATTAACTCTTTGTTCTCATTAGATCCCTCATTCTGTGTTGTCTCAGTTACACTGTAATGGCCTCAGCCTCCTTCCTGTCGGGGGGGGGGGGCTCATGTGATCGGGGATGGCGGGCGTCCCTGAGGAGCCGGCGAGGTCTCAGAGGAAACATTATAAACAATAGAGACTCAAATATTTACTGTGGCTCAGCTCATCATGGAACTGAGGAAGATTTATGAGCGGAGAGAGAGAGAGAGATTCTCCTCTTTATCATCAGCTCACTCTCTCTTTACTTTGAGTAATTATTAGACAGTTTTATTTGGTAGAGCTTCCTGTTTATGTAGAAGTCACAATACTTTCAGAATAAAAGTTTCTGTACAACAGTAAGAACGGGAGGAGAGAGGAAGGGAAGAAGGAAACAAAGAGGGAGGAAACAGGACGGTAGGAAAGGATTCAAACAGTCAGCGAAGGAAGAGAGGAGTTAGGAAAGGAAAGGAGGAGGGTGGGAAGGAAAGGAGGACACAGTTGAAGACAGTGGCCTCCAGACACACATCTTTAGGTGAGACTGTGATCATGTGATCTCAGGTGGTGATCATTATGTAGACGACGGCGTTAGAACCTGTGACCTGAGTCTGGACCAGACCCAAACTCAGGTCCAGATCTCTGAGCTGGTCTCAGGTCAGTGTCTGATGCTGCAGTAACACAAAACTGCTCAGTATGAGCCCCTCCCTCAGTGGCAGAGATTCAGACTCGAGATCAGTTTTCTGATTTTCTCATTAAAACAAACTGAATATGAGTTCATCAGTTGCAGAAATCACAACATCGTTAATTAGAACATTTTCAAGTGATTGATGATTGATAATGAGAGGTGTCGAGCTCACATCACTCCGTCAGAATCTGAACATGGTGTAAAAATGTATGTTATTATAATAGATTCAAGGTCTCTGTCCTGGTTTTATTCCAGTCTGAACCGGTTCAACTGGACTGGATCAGCTGGACTAGATCACAGTCATCAGACTGACTGAGCTGTTATAGACTTCATGTTAAACCAGCTGACGGCTTCACTGAACAAACCGTAACAATAACACAGCCATCGATCGATCAATCGATCAATAGTTGTGTTGAACACCTCCACTTCTGCTTCCTGGTTTGAGCCTGAAGCTAAAATCCATCAGAGTGAATCAGGTCAGAGAAACAAAAAGCTGCTAATTGATCTGCTGTGATGTCACTGTTGGAGCAGAGACGTCGTCCAATCAGATGAGAGGTTTGATCAGCTGATCAGTCCTCGCACATTAAACCATAAACATACAGATAGTTGTTGATCTGCACATGTATGTGGGGTTAGGCTGAGCTGGATCGGGGGGGTCAGGGTCTGCAGCCTCTGCTGCTCTGTGGGTGTGAGCGGGTGTGTTGATGTTGGGGGGGGGGGGTTTTTGTGGTGTGGGGGGGGGGGGTGCCCTGAACATTTGTTGAGAGCAATAACATGTGCGCAGGCCAGGCACAGATGGTGTCTTCATATCAGAGGAGGGGGAGGGGAGGGAAGGGCTGTGATGGGGGGGGGGCATTGGCTGCTCTCTCCTCTCTCTAGTTTCCAGCCTGTTGAACCGGCCCCCGCTGATAAATGGGACTTTAATTCAATTAGGGGCCGGACTCTGACAACGCCTCACAGCAGGGCCCCGCCCCCCTTCCTGTAACAAAGACACACCCAGAACACAACAACACGTGTTCAGCTATAAGAGCCAGAGTAAAGGAATACAGTTAGCCTAGCTTAGCAGAAAGGCTGGAGGCAGGGGGAACTGTTAGCCTAGCTTAGCACAAATCCAAACAATTATTTATTAGATATTATTGGCTGATAGCAGCACAGGTGTCAGGTGACCTAACTCCACATTAATCTCAGGTGGGTCTAATGTTCAGCAGAAAGTGTTAAAATAAGTTAAAACTAAACCAGGTGTGGTACAGATATAATATGTGGACAGGCTCTGGCACAAGCTCCATATTAAGTGTATGTGTGTGTTGTTCTGCTGTCCACATACTTTTGTCCTGGTGTCTGTTACCTGCCTGTGTTTTCCCTCTGTGATGAATCACTTCCAGCTCACAGCCGCTAGGCAGCGACCTCATTCTCCACAGCAGCGTCTGTCTTACCTACTCACCTCCCCTCCCCTCCCCCTCTAGTGGTTTGCTCAGGTGATGTGCTCTCAGGCGAGAGAGAGAGAGAGAGAGAGAGAGAGAGAGAGAGGGAAAAGATAGCGTGAGCTGGTTTCATCTCTCATTACCTTGCAGTCAGCGGCAGGATGTGGACGCAGCACCTGGACAGAGACAGAGACCAGTGTGTGTGATGTCATCAGTGTATAGACGAACAGCTGATTGGTGTGTGTTAGAGGACACCTGGATGATGATCAGAGGATTAAATGTTTTACCTGAGGATGTAGATCACCTCCGTCAGGTGACGATCAGTGGAGCTTTCATTTATTCTGAAGGACTGACAGTCTGTTACCGACTGGATCCACCCTGAAGCCCCGCCCTCCTCGCCTCGCTTCATCGAGTCTCATCAAATGGAGGGCTGTGATTGGCTGCTCACTTCAAGGTTTGATGCTGGTTGTATGTTTTATTTTCTGGTGTGATGTAGAAGTTAGAAAATGAATCATTGATTTCTGTTCATCAGAAGATTAATCACCCCCCCCCCCCCCAGCTGCTCTCGTGTGTCTGTCAGTGTGCAACGAGGATGATGAGGATGATGATGATGATGATGATGATGATGACAGGATGAAAAGCATAGAGAAAAGACGAGCAGCACCTGCACTCCAGCCTCAGATCAGGACACACAGCCCAGTGTTCAGTCTGATCCATGTAACATACCTTCCCATGACCACCTGCCCGGAAACTCCCCCCTCCTCCTCCCCCCTCAGAAACAGCTGGAGGCATTTGTTTGTGTTAAAAACCCAGAGTGTGTTCTTCCCTCCAGAGTCGGAGAAATGTCTGAGCATAGGATGACGAAACTGAGGAGGAGGGGGAGGGGGGAAGATTAATGTGTCTTTGTAAAATGCCCTGGTTGTAGGGGGAGGGGGGGTCGGGGGGGTAATGCCCTCCGATGTGTCGTTGCTGCTTTGTCCTCGACTCCCTGAATGGACACAAAGAGTGGACGACTGCAGAGGTGACGGCTGCTCACAATGGAGCTGCGAGATGGGGGGGGCACGACGAGGAAACGCTCCATCAAACTGTGTTCATGTGTTCATGTGTTCATGTGTTCATATGAGGGACAAAATGGTGGACAGCAGTGTGTTAAGAGATGTGAGCCGGCTGCATTGCCCCCGGTGACATCTGCCACTCTGCGTCAGTCATGTGACCCTCCAGGCAAACAGCTCTGTGAATGGCTTTTGTTTGGGAGGTCACTGCTGCCACTAGCATCCACTGACCAATCACGGCGCAGCCTCACCCTGCTGTATGAGTCTGAGGAAGCAGGCTGCAGATTTAAGGTGAAATGATCCCTGAACGTTTGACTGAACCTGTGTGTGTGTGTGTGTGTGTGTGTGTGTGTGTGTGTGAGCAACAGAGACGTAATAAAATCAAACCTGTGTCACTGTCACAAACACTGATCAGCTGTTATTAACAGTCCTACATGTCATACACTGAGCACTTTACATGACGTTCACATGTGACTGAAGAGACGACACAGTAAATGTAGACATGTTTATATTGTCATGTATGTGTAGTTATATAATCTATAGTCTAACGTGTTCAAGATAAAAACAACAAACATGATTTTAATATAAACATTAAATAAACATGAAATAATGAAGATGTTCACAGTGAAATCAACTGTGTCACAGACAGCGAAGTGTTATAAAGACATTCACAGCAGTGATTGATTGTCAGTTAGTGACACTCAAGACAGATATTGGTGATTGCTCAGATGCTGCGAGCTGATTGGTTGATCTTTATTGTGCTGAGAGGAAGGATTGTTAAAGTGTCACCAGGTGTTGGTTCTCAGTGTAGTTCCACGTGTATTGTTCCTTCTTCTTCTTCCTCTTCTCCTTTTCCTTCTCCTCCTCCTCCTCCTCCTCCTTTTCCTTCTTCTTCTCCTTCTCCTTCTTCTTCTTCTTCTTTTTCTTCTTCTTCTTCTTCTTCTCTTGCTGCTGCAGCAGGTCACACATTCTTGCAGCCAAAAGGCAAAAAGCACAATAGCAGTGGGTGTAGAGGGAGGGGTTGTAGAGGGGGGTTGTAGAGGGAGGGGTTGTGGGTCTGTGTGAGGGGGTTAAGTCGCTGAGTGAGATCATATTATATCCCAACATATACCTTAGACCACACAATGAGCCTCCACGTCTCACTTTTCAGCTCTTTCTTTTCTTTCTTCTTCTGTGGTTCTGATCACAGAGGGCATTACCCCGTCTGAACTCCCCCTAAATCCTGCCGGTCACACCTCTTATTAAAGCCCGGCCTGTCCCACGCCCTCCACCCCCGCCCCCGCTCTTGGTATTCAGCCCAGGTCAGCAGATTTCGGCCCGGCCCACCGTGGCTCCCCTTTTTAATTTGCACCTGTTGTGCAGTTGTCCGGGAGCGAGCGGCGGCTCCAGCAGACAAAGATCATATTATGAACAGATCTGCACACACTAATCTCCATGTTCCCGAAGGGAAGCTGCTTTTACTTCCCCTCCCTGGGAACCTGAACGCCTCTCCACGGCAAGGTTTACACAGACTGGCAGCAGATAAAATCCCTGGAGGACGGAGAGCTCCCCTCAGTCCTGGTCTGGGTCCTGGTCTGAGATAAGACCAGAGACCCTGTCGAAGTCTGGGTTTACAACTGAGCTGAAAATCAGGCTGAAAACTGTACAGGCCTCGCTGACTGGTTCTCATGATGTCATGGTGCTGTACTGTCGGTTGGTAAACCCACCCCCCACCTCCACACTGTGAAGGCAGGGTCACCACAGACCACTTCATGTGTCACATGGTTCAAACACATCAGTGTTTAAAAAGACGTCAACACATAAAATACTGTCTGAGTGACTGTTTCTTCATTCTGACTGACTGTTTCTTCTGTTTGACTGACTGTTTCGTCAATCTGAATGACTGTTTCTTCTTTCTGACTGACTGTATTTCATTCTAACTGACTGTTTCTTCTGTCGGACTGACTGTTTCTTCATTCTGACTGACTGTTTCTTCTGTCTGACTGTATTTCATTCTGACTGACTGTTCCTTCATTCTGACTGACTGTTTCTTCTTTCTGACTGACTGTTTCTTCTGTCTCACTGACAGTTTCTTCTGTTTGACTGACTGTTTCATCATTCTTACTGACTGTTTCGTCAATCTGAATGACTGTTTCTTCTTTCTGACTGACTGTTTCTTCATTCTGACTGACTGTTTCTTCTGTCTCACTGACAGTTTCTTCTGTTTGACTGACTGTTTCATCATTCTTACTGACTGTTTCGTCAATCTGAATGACTGTTTCTTCTTTCTGACTGACTGTTTCTTCATTCTGACTGACTGTATTTCATTCTAACTGACTGTTTCTTCTGTTTGACTGACTGTATTTCATTCTAACTGACTGTTTCTTCTGTCTGAGTGACTGTTTCTTCATTTGACTCACTGTTTTTCGTTCTAAGTGACTTTTTTCATTTTGAATGACTGTTTCTTCATTGACTGACTGTTTCTTTGGTCTGACTGGCTGTATTTCATTCTAACTGACTGTTTCTTCTGTCGGACTGACTGTTTATTCATTCTGACTGACTGTTTTTTTAACCTCAGTTAAGGATCAGAGGACTCGCTCTGTCCCCTGTCTGAACCAGGTCTATGTTTACAGCCTTCAGTCCCCTGAGAGTCTGAACTGGACAGTCCAGGACTGTGTCCTGGTCCTCTTCCTGGTCCTGGTCCTGGTCTTGGTCCCGGTCCTCCTTCTGCTCCTGGTCCTAGTCCAGATGTAGTTGTTGACACAGGTCTGTTGTGTGTTTCAGTGCTGAACTATGAGAACGTGGTGGAGACTGGATCAGAGACGGACGAGGACGACAGGACCCTGGTCTCTGAGGACGGAGGCCTCGCTGATGGAAGAGGGGGAGGGGAGGAGGAGGAGGTGGGCAGTCCGGCTGGTGTGCCCACCCTGGAGGCCTCGCCCCGGGTCGCACACGCCCTGCTGTCATACCGGGGCCAGGAGGGCTCAGAGGGCCGAGAGGGAGCCCAGAACCACCAGAACCATCAGAACCACCACGGCTGGAGACTGGGAGACGACACCAACGCACACCTGAACGGCAGCGGTGAGACCCTGAACACACCATACCATACTATGTTATTTATATCTTATATTATATGTATGTTATTTATAGATGATCAAACCACAGATCAGAGTGAGTGTTCTAGAGCTTTCTGTCATATCACATGGTCTTCCTCAGCAGCTGAGGGGCTTGTTGTTATGGATGAAAAAGCTCCAGAACAAAAAGACACATCCTCCATCTGAAAGGATGAATCAGCTGATTGATTTTCTGTCAGTGATCTCATGGATTCATGGATTAGTTGATTAGTTGATTAGTTGATTAGTTGTGAACCTGATCCTCAGGTGAGTCAGTGTGGTGAGCGGCACCTGTCTGTGTGTCCTAGTCTGCTGATGAACCACAATGACCTAATTTAACCTCAGGGTTGTTGTCAATTACCCAGAATCCCACAGGGATCTCTGATCTGATCTGAGACAGGAAGTTAACCTGGAACCACGTTAACCGTGATACCTCCAGTTACCATAGAAACGATGCTGATGACACAAAATGGACCAGGATCAAGACTTTGTAGGACAGAGTCCACTGCACATACAGGGGAACTCCATAAACACTGGATCCTACATTTCCCACAATGCACCTGCAGACCAGGTCAGGATCCTTCATGGGGCTGAGCACAGGAAAGGCAACATGACGAAGGAAAGAACAAAGGAAGTTAGGAGAGGAAAGAAGGAAAGAGAGAAGGAAGGAGAAACTAATGAAATAATGTGGATGGTGGGAAAGAGAGGGATGAAGAAGTGAAGGATGGAGAGAGAGAGAGAAGCAGCAGCTGTCGACTCAGAAACAGAAGTGAAAAGATCTTTATTCTGCCGTCACCTCCATCTTGTCTCTGAGGACAGAAAAAAGAGGAATGAAAACACAAAGAGCCAAAGAGCCTCCATTTTACAACAACGGGGGGGGGGGGGGGGCTGTTTCCATCACACTTCAACCTCCTCTGTATTGATCTGTATTGATCAGATCTGTGTGTGACTCTACAGCTGCTGTAGATAAATACAGTTGTAATAAAATAATAACTTTATTGTAATGAAATAATATTAATAAAGTAATAATTAAGTTAGAAACGTTATTAAACTGATCAATAATCTTTATATTAATGATTCAATTCAAACTATCAGTGGATAAATCTCACCATGTCATGAGACATTCTCTAATTCTTTATTATATTTATTTACTTTATATTAGTATTTATGTCACTTCAGTGGGCTATATAAATAAATATACATGGATGTATGTATATATGAATAAATATATATGTATATATATATATATATATATATATATATATATATACTGTATACACACACACACACTTCATCATAGAATTTCATATTCATTTATTCTTCCTTTTCCCCTCTGGGCTATGGGATGATGGGGGAGGCAGTGCCCCCTCCCTCTGTGTGTGTGTGTGTGTGTGTGTGGGGGGGGGGTACCTCCTTTGAAGGGCTGAATGAAGCTTATGATACTTGTGACTCCTGTTGAGGAGTCACATGAGGAGGCCCAGGAGGAACAAACACAATAGAGCTCAGTTGTAGGTTCAGTCATTATGTGGAAATACCTTCAAATTGTGATTGTGTCAGGGAGGAGTCCAGCTGACCTGCCTGAGGGGGGGAGAGGAGTAAACATCTGTGTCTGTTTTCTTGAACAGATGACAGGAAGGACGAGTACCAGCCTCTGGGTCCAGAGGTGTCACTGCACACTGTGGGAAACGGGACAGGTGAGATCAATATGTAATAATCATATGTCAAACATTAAAACATTCACTGTATTTTCCCTGTAATTTGTATCAACCTACATTTTACAGTACAGGCAATACAATGAGTGTTTTTATTATTATATATTATTATATTATATTATATTTTTTCATTCCTGTTTGAAATATATTTTTTTACTACAAAAGTAGAACGTGTGACAAAAAACAGGTTCAGTTACAGGTTGTTGAGTTCTGTAGCAGAAAGAAGTTAAAGTCTGAACATCCCTAGGGGGTTAGCTCCCTTTGGTTCTCTGTGTTTATGATGTTAGCTCTGTTAACGTAATGTAAACTCCACAGACAAATGTTTGTTTCTATGCAGACAATTATGTTTTATTTGTTTTAGCCACTGTTAGAATACAGTGGCCAATGGGGATCTAAATAAATACATTAATATATAACTAAATTCATGAATAAATATGTCACAGGCTGATGTGTTAGTGTTAGCTGTTTTCATGCTAAATGCTAACACAATGAGCTAACCCCCTGTCTGTTTCCTGCTCAGTGAGGCGGCTGGACGGTGTCTCTGAGCTGGACGAGTACTTCCTGAAACGTAAACTGGACGAGGGCGATGGTCACCCCACAACCATCGCAGAGTACCTGCAACGCAGTGACACCGCCATCATTTACCCAGAAGCCCCGGAGGAGGTGACGAGGCTGGGCACACCCGAGGCCGTCGGTCAGGACGAGAATGAACACGGTGAGAGAGGAAACGTCAGAATACTGAAGTCCATGTAAAACTAATGAAGGAAGAACATGAAGGTCACGCTGGGACCAGATGATGTGTTCACTGAAACACTGAGGAAATATAATTAACTTAATTTAAGTGTAATTAAAGGAAACAAGTATAAATATCATATGATCAAAACATTTTTATAAAATAATAATAAAAAATCTATTGAAATTAGTTTAAAGTGAATTCTGAATGTAAAGGAAATTAAATCTGACTCAGTTTAAATTTTCTAGTTAATTATATATAATTGATAAAGTTACAAAGACGTGGAACCTTGTTTGTAAAAAAAAAAGCATCAATGACATAATATAGCAAATGATGTAAAAATATTACAACCAAAAAATGTTTTATAAAATCATGAAAATCTGCAAAACTAATGCAAAATAATATTTTCAAATGAACGTAGGTGAATTAAATTTTAAATTTTTTTTCTATTAAAAAAGGAAGCAGGGACAGCTAAATAAATCATATGATCAAAATTGTGTTAATAAATTAATAGAAAAAGAAAACAGTTGAAAATGAGTGTCTGTCAAACTCATGGAGCTTCCTGTGAGTCATTGATGTTAATGATCAAACTGTTCGAGTGACTGATTGTTTTTAAATGTTTTACAGTGAAAGAGTCACAGTGTTCACTGAACACACAACCTCCACTACGGGAGGTGTGTTTTTATGCAGATGAACTAACATTCTTTTAAATGTTAGTTTCAAAGTCTCATGACTCTTTGAGTCTGTGAATCTGTGACATTTATGGTGATAAGGAGAAAATAATAACATGGTGCCTCGTGTTTCTCAGTAAAACGTTTTGAATTTGAATGAATCTTTATTGACAAGAAGATCAGACAAACAAAAAACTTCATAAAATCATAGAAATCTATAAAAAAATTAATCAATGAGTTTAATGCAGATTATTTTGACTATGGAGCAAAGTTGTGTTTTAGTTGTTTTTCTCTTTGTTGTGACTTTAAAGTTGAAAGTTACTTGACCTCTGACCTGTGTCTGTGTGGCTGCAGACCTGCCGCCTGGCACACCTGATGACTTCGCCCAGCTGCTCACCTGTCCGTACTGCGACCGCGGCTACAAGCGTCTGACATCCCTGAAGGAACACATCAAGTATCGTCACGAGAAGAACGAGGAGAGCTTCACCTGCCCGCTGTGCGCTGACACCTTCAGCCACCGCACTCAGCTGGAGCGTCACATGACCACGCACAAACCCGCCAGAGACCAGGTAAGACACACCTGCACCAGAACGCCACCTTTTCACTTCACTCCATCAAAAGCCACGTCAGACAATAAGAAAGCAGAACAGTCAGGTTTCATCTGAAGAGCTGCAGATCATTTTAACCATTGATGAATTCAATGATCATTAAATTTAATTAATTAATAATTATAGTTTAATTTAATATGAAATCATTCAATGATGATTTAACTCTAAATCGATCCATTGATTGTTTGGTGTTTGACCATCAGTCTTCAGCTCAGTGTCACAGTTTAAATCAGGGAGAAAAAAAATGGTGTTAACTAACTGGACTGATCGATTAGAGATTGATTGATAATGAAAATGATGATTAACTACAGCTCTAATTGAACTGTATATCAGTCAGTCCTGGAGGAGTCAGTGTTAGTGTGCCCCCGCCCCCCCCGAACCTGATTGGCGAAACTCGACTAATAAACCAATCAGATCAATACATCAGATGCTACTGGAACTGACCAGATTAGAAATGATCAGTATTTAAGAAAGGTGTATGTTTTCTCTGTGACAGTGAACACCTAACTCTGTGTATATACAGTTATAAACACAGCTCAGACTGTGAGCTAATAATCTAATAATGAGCAGCTGTGAAATGTTTCCTCAGACTAACTGAGCAGTGAATCATTCCATTTTCCAATTACACTGATCATAATGAGATTTAATGAGATAAGCCGTCAGCCTCCCTTTGAGTGTACCTGACCCCCTCCCACCCCCCCGCACCAGATGGTCTTTTCCCTGCTGCGTTACAATAATCCTCACAGGACTTTAAGTGTCTGTTTATTTGTTTATGTCCTTGAGTTAAACTGTTAAACACCGACTCTGGCGCACTGTTTCAAATGCAACAACAAGAACAACAACAGCAACATCTTCATGAGGTCAGACAGTTACTGTTACTGTCGGTTCATCCACTGGGTCTCAGACACTTTTAAACTGCAGGTGATGATTTATACATAAAGAGTCACATCATCAGTATATATATGTAGAGACAGCGTCTGGTGTGCAGATATATTTGTGTATTGTGACATGAGTCATGATTATAGTAATAAAAAATAAAGATGATGATGATGAAGTGATTGTTGATGGTCCTGTACCAAACACACATGTTGCTCTAACATCTGGACCGCAGCGTCTCGTCAGCTCGCCACACTTTATTCATGGTCTGATGTTTGCTGCTGGTCACATTGTGATTCATATGAAGATGAATTGTTCAGTTCCAATCTGATAAAGACCAATAAATAATTGACACATGACACTGATCCAGAGATCATTGATCAGCACATTCAGACTCGTTACAACGTATATGTAAAGGATTTGGGTGAAGTTAATAATCATCCGTTTGTTTTAATATAATAATAATAATATAATTTAAACTGAACTGAGGTAAAAGACATTTTCATCATCGTCTCTGCTCAGTCTGGAGTCTTCCTCCTTCCAACTGTCTGAAACCAAAGGATTTCATTAAACGCAGAGCTCCCACTCCCAGCATCAACTTCTCACTGCAGCGCCCCCCCCCGTTTTGTTTGTTTATCTCCTGATTTGCATTTCAAATGGCGGGAATGCACCTACACGAGAGACAGTTACCTCTGAACAAAGTCAGCCCACACTGTTTCTCAGAACGTGTTGAAGATAAAAACAGTTGAAGAATCTCTTCTCCATCAGATCTGCTTCACTAAATACTATTAAATTCCCCCGTCAGCTTCTGTTCCACAGCTGTAATCTGCTCACACTCCCACTCTGACTCCATCACATCTCACTCTGTGTTTTCTATGCAGCCGCCGCTGCTCAACGAAGATGCTGGAAACCGCAAGTTCAAATGCAGCGAGTGTGGAAAAGCCTTCAAATACAAACATCACCTGAAGGAGCATCTTCGTATTCACAGCGGTGAGTCGTTTCACTGCTGATCCATATCTTCCTCTTCATAGTGTTCCTCCTCAGCTCTGAATGACTCACCTCATTCTCTGAACTTAGACCTGGTTCTCTGAGTGAATCAGATCAAAGTGGAAACTAGTGACAGCTTTTCTTTGAATAGTGTTAACAATGAATTTTAATGAGCAATGAATTTGAACACATTTCCTTTGCAGCAGTGACACTGATCCTCTGCAGCTACATGAATGATTCATATTTACACATTTATGTCAAGTCATTCTTTTATAATTCACTAAAACATTGAATGTCGGGGCAGGTTTGACTCAGAGCCTCCGACCTGCTCAATCAGTTGAAGAAGGAAATGTCAGAGTAAATATATACATGTACATGTACAGAAAGTCCAGAAGAGTACTATTGGTGCCCTGTACATGTAAATCAGACTGATTGGAGGAGCTGGTTCGTTAGCATCTAACTTGTCTAGTTATCATGAGCTGCCCAGAACAACTTTTACCCAGCAGAGCTAACAAGAAACAAACTCTGACTGTCACACATTCTACAAGATGAAACGTATAGTCTGAAAAGAAACAATAATCATGTCTCATGTCATGTTGCAGGTGAGAAACCGTACGAGTGCTCCAACTGTAAGAAGCGGTTCTCCCACTCTGGATCCTACAGCTCCCACATCAGCAGCAAGAAATGCATCGGCCTGATTGCCGTCAACGGACGAGTGCGTAACGGAAACAATGGCAAACCCGGCTCTTCCCCCAACTCCACAACCTCATCGCCAGGGAGCCCCGCCCTCGCCCAGCTCCGCCACAAACTGGAAAATGGGCGCCCGCTTGGCCCTCCAGACCAGCAGGGTCAGCTTGACATCAAAGCCGAGCCGATGGACTTCAATGAGTACCGGCTGCTGATGGCCTCTCAGCACGGGTTTGGGGGACCCGGGGTTTACCTGAACGGCCGTGGCGGGAGCCCCCTGGCAATCCATAGCTCTTCCCAGAGCCCTCTTCAACACCTGGGAGGCATGGGGCTGGACCTCCCCCTGCTGGGCTACACTGGGCATCTTGGGAACAACTTGAGCGAAGTCCAGAAAGTGCTTCAGATCGTGGACAACACGGTGTGCAGGCAGAAGATGGACGGGAATCCAGAAGAGATATCTAAGCTCAGGGCCTACATGAAGGAGCTTGGTGCCCAGATGGAGGAACAGAAGCTGGTCCAGGCCAGTTTCCAGGCGATGGGCCACAGCAGCCCCACAAAAAGCATAATCGACTACACACTGGAGAAGGTCAATGAGGCCAAAAGTCTGATCGATGACTCTAAGAGGCAATTGGACATCAAGAAGGAGAAACCGACCCACTTAGTGGATCTTAGCGGGGAAGAGAAATCCCATGATGGCCAAAACCAGTTCCTGCCATTCTCCTGCCAGTACTGCAAGGAGACTTTCCCTGGGCCCATCCCACTGCATCAACATGAGCGCTACCTTTGCAAAATGAATGAGGAGATCAAAGCAGTCCTGCAGCTGGAGACTAGTCCTGCTGGCCGGAGTGGGGCGATGGCCTCTGAGCTGCCGAGTAACGACCGGGCCACCAGTCCCATCAACCCGTTCAAGGACCACGTGTCAGTGCTCAAGACTTACTTTGCCATGAACACTGAGCCCAACTCAGAGGAACTGCTCAATATTTCAATTGCTGTCGGCCTTCCTCAAGAGTTTGTGAAGGAGTGGTTTGCCCAGTGGAAGAGCAAAAACCACCATGGAGGCAGTCTGAGGAAAAAGTCGCCCCCTCCCGACCACGGTGGACCAGACCTCAAGCACAGTTTGAGCCGGTCTCCGATGTCGGTCCCTGCCCTAGATTTACACGGAGGCTTCACTAACGGTGACGCCTCCCACAGACTCACAAAAGCCAACCAGTTTACAGCCAACAGGCAGACAACAGGGGACAAACCACTAGACCCCTTGGACCACCTGAGGAGCAACACTCCATCACCCCTCAACCTTTCCTCTACTTCCTCCAAAAACTCTCAGAGTAGCTCTTACACTCCAAACAGCCTGGTTTCTGAGGACACCCATGGGGACATACCACTGGATCTGTCGCTGCCGAAACATATGGCACAAAGGCTCATCGCTGTCGGGGAGAAGCGATCCAGACCCAATGGTTTCATCATCGAGCACAAAGGGGAGGTGCATGGACGAGAGCAGGGGTCCGGGCCTTTAGATCTGATCAACATCAAGAAGGAGGTCCTGGGCTCTGATGGTGGAGGGAATTCTATCCACCAGCTGGAGAAAAGCACTAGTCCTATCTTTGGGATTAATCCCTTCGCTGGTGCTCCTGTCTACACCTCCCTGCCACCTCACGGAGCGTTTCCTCCTCCCACCTTCATGTCTCCTGCTCAGGCCACCATCCCAGGCCTCAGGCCCTACGCCGGCCTCGACCCCATGAGCTTCCTGCCTCACATGGCCTACACCTATGCCACTGGGGCAGCCACATTTGCTGAAATGCAGCAGAGGAGGAAGTACCAGCGGAAACCAGGTTTCCAGGTAAAACTAAGTTTTTTGTAAGTAATTTGTCAAACTATCAAAGGTCAGTAGGTTATTATTCTAACCAACCACTGATGAGTTCTTCCTCTCTTTGTTTGGAGTAAAGTCCTTTTGTCCCTTCATGGCTCATGGTTGACACCCCTAGTTTTGGCAGTTAAAGCCTCTTGGTCAAGGCTCAGGAATGTTTGCCTTCACAGTTAAAAGAAATCAGTGAAGAGTTTTGGTCGGAGTCAACATTGATCTGTGAGTAAAGTTGCAAACTTTGTAAGTTCGGGAATTCACCCTGACCTGGTTCCTCTCAACATTTGTTGTGTACATCAGAAACACAGAGGAAGTAGTCAGGACACAATAGCCACAATGTGCCCGTGGATGTTTTATGGATACCTGATGTGTCAGTGTTGGGAAGTGGGCAGTGTCTTATCTTGACTTGGGGATCATGATGCCACTGACGTGGAGGCAATAAAACCAATAGACATGTGATTTGAGGTACTAAGTCAATGTGATGCTATTTCGTGCCTCTGCAAGAGGACAGAACATGAAGTCATTCACCAGGAAAATATTACTGTAGGTAGACAAAAGAATCTGACCACGTCGTCCATTTGTAGCTGTTCTGTAACTTTTAATTGATTGGTTATAGTAGTAGATAGACAACAGGTGATAGATGTCAGTAGATAGACGACGGTTGATAGACGATAAACGACAGTTGATAGATGTCAGTAGATAGATGACGGTTGATAGACGACAGTAGATTGACGACAGTAGATAGACGATGGCTAATAGATGATGGTTGATAGATGATAGACGACGGTTGATAGATGATAGGCGATGATTGAAAGACGACGATTGATAGACAATGATTGATAGATGATAGATGACGGTTGATATATGTCAGTAGATAGACGATGGTTTATAGATGAAAAATGATGGATGATAGATGTCAGTAGATGGATGACAGTTGATATACGACGGTTGATAGATGACAGTAGATAGACAACGGTTGATAGATGATAGACGACAGTTGATAGACGATGGTTGATAGACGATAGACGACGGTTGATAGACGATAGACGACGGTTGATAGACGATAGACAGCGATTGATAGACGACAGTAGATTGACAACAGTAGACAGACGACAGTTGATAGACGATTGTTGATAGACGATAGACAACGGTTGATAGACGACAGTAAAATGACGACAGTTGATATACGATGGTTGATATACGACGGTTGATATACGACGGTTGATAGACGACGGTTGACAGGCGACAGTAGATAGACGATGGTTGATAGACAATAGACAACGCTTGATAGACGACAGTAGATTGACAACAATAGATAGACGATGGTTGATAGATGACAGTAGATAGACAACGGTTGATAGATGACAGTTCATAGACGACAGTAGATAGAAGATGGTTGATAGACGATAGACAACGATTGATGGACAACGACTGCTAGACGACTGTAGATTGACAACAATAGATAAACGACATTTGATAGACAACGGTTGATAGACGATAGACAATGATTGATTGACAATGATTGATAGACGACAGTAGATTGACAACAGCAGATAGACGATGGTTGATAGACGACAATTGATAGACGACAGTAGATAGGCGATGGTTGATAGACGATAGACGACAGTAGATAGACAACGGTTGATAGATGACAGTTCAAAGACGACAGTAGATAGAAGATGGTTGATAGACGATAGACAACGATTGATGGACAACGATTGCTAGATGACTGTAGATTGACAACAATAGATAAACGACACTTGATAGTCAACAGTTGATAGACGATAGATGACGGTTCATAGACGACAGTAGATCGACGACAGTTCATAGATGATAGACGACGATTGATAGACGACAATTGAAAGACGACGGTTGATAGATGACAGTAGATTGACGACGGTTGATAGATGATAGACGACGATTGATAGACAACAATTGAAAGACGACAGTTGATAGACGACAGTAGATAGATGATGGTTGATAGACGACGGTTGATAGATGTTCCAGATCCTGAAGAGAAACTGATGCATCTTGTTGTCAGGTTGTTTTTAGCTAATTCAGGTAGTTTCTCTGGTGATGGCACTTTTCCATTCTGTTCTTGGAGAAATGGTCAGAATTCAGTATCAAAAATCAGTTTTGTTCACCTGTTGTATGTATGTTTTTATCTGGAAACACAATCTGAACATCTAGTTCAAAACCTCCCTGTCCCATATGTTTCCCCCTTTTTAAGTGTCTCCTGGATGAAAGGGACTTACCCAGGTTGGGCCTTTAAGCTCTGTCCAGACGTGGGATCATGGAGGCAGTGGGGGGGTCGCAGCAGAAGGTGTCTCTGGGTGTGAAGCCGACAGGTGTGGGATTATCAGTCGTATTGAAACAGTGTGTTTGTGTCTCAGGGGGAGCTGCTGGACGGGACGGCGGACTATCTGTCAGGCCTGGACGACCTGACAGACAGCGATTCGCTGCTCTCCAGGAAGAAGATTAAGAAGACTGAAAGTGGTATGTACGCGTGTGACTTGTGCGACAAAACATTCCAGAAGACCAGTTCCCTCCTAAGACACAAATATGAGCACACAGGTATATATCACATTTGCACACTTCTTTTTTACCCCACCCCCGATGGTTTTGTGCCCTTCCTACCCTTCATATCTTATGTCTTCAGATTTTCTTTCATTCTCTTTGTTTTTTTAGTCACACGGCTCCCCACTCGTAGTTTTTCTTTCTCTTCTGTTCTTTCTGTTTTGTTCTCTGTAAACCATGGCCTTTAACATGTTCCTTTCTTTTCAGCAGGGGGTAGGGATCATTTAATATGGAGAGGATTACATAAACATTCAGCGCCCCAAATATAAGCAACATTTTCTCCGGCATCTCATTCATACTGTGATGTGTTTGTGTAGAGAGAGATGGAGGAGGAGGGGGAGGAGGTGTGCATGTTTGCATGTGATGCTGTTTGTGCATGTGTGTGTACTCTGACTGTACGGAAGATCAAAAGGAAATATTAATTACAGCAGAGAGATGGTCCATTTCTTCCATTTTTAAACTGGAAACAAACAGTTTGTGATACAAACACAGGAGTAAATACTGAGAGGTGAAGCGCCTGTCAGCCTCCATCTGCAGCACACACACATCAACACATTACACACTAACAGACAGCTGATGGACAACCTATACGTTTATATTCTAACTCTAGGTGTTGACCGAAGACACCACGTCTGATATTTATGTTTCTGTATGAGTGTGATGAGCAGCCAACTATCCAACTATCTATCTATCTACATTTAAACCCTCTGATGTCTCCATGTTCATATAAGATGAGATGAATCTTTATTGTTCCCTGGAGAGGAAATGTAAATTTGACACAGCAGCGCGAGGGGAAAATTTTAATAAGAAATAAATAAGAATAGAAACAGAATCTAATATAAATAAATTAAAATAAAAACACTATTTACAATAATAATATACAATGCAATTTAGGCAGTTCTGTACATGTGCAATATAAAAATGAAAAATTAAGGTTGTGCGGTTTGACACAATTCTATTATATATATATATATATATATATATATATTCATAATGTGCAGTCAGCATCTGAACCACAGAGATCCAGAGTGAACAAACATTTCAGAAAGTAAAATTCAAATTTAATCTGAGGATGAATCTAAACGTTGAATAAAGTTGTGGTTTCGAGTCAACGTCAATTTTCTGTTCTGGTCCATCTCCACACTGAAACAAGAGGTACAAACTAAAGTCTGTGTTTTTCTATGAAGTTAAGTGTAAATCACAAACCACAGTCCTGTCCTTCAGAACATCAGATGTTACATCCAGTGCTTCATAGAAACATGATGTGAAACAGCCTCATTAAATAAAACAGACTGAAACTTCATCAGGACATAAAACAACCTGCTGATCTCACCTGAGGACCGTCCTCTCCACAGGACCTGCTCCACCTCCCTCTCTTTCACTCCATTGCATCATCACCCCCCCCCCCCCCCCCCCCCCAGCAGGAATCCGCCGTCTTGGTTATTTTTGCTGAACTGTGTGTGTGTGTGTGTGTGTGTTACAGTGAACTATGCCAGCTATGGTGGATGTCACAGGCGTTCCAGGTCTATTTGTGGCTGTGATCTCCCTGCATGTGTGTCTGTGAGGAGGTGTGTGTGTGTGTGTGTGTGTGTGTGTGTGTGTGTGTGTGTGTGTGTGTGTGTGTTGGCATGGTTGTGGTGGAGCTGTGTTTCTGGTCCATGTGTGCGTAGGACGTGTGTTTGGATGGTATTCAGCCTGTCGGTTGGCAGCAGACTGAAGCATCCTGTTCAGTCAGATGGAAGAAATTTCTGCTCGTACGGAGTCGTAGTAAATCCAGCAGTGTGTGTGTGTGTGTGTGTGTGTGTGTGTTAGTGTGTGTGTTAGTTTGTGTGTCTGTGTTAGTGTGTGTGTGTGTGTGTGGGGGGGTGGGGGGGTGTTAACGACTGTGGAAGGATTCCTGCTCCTCCTCAGATTTAAATCTGGTACTGTGATGTCATCGCAGCCTGTCGCAGGTTGACGTTGCCTCGCAGCGTCTCAGGCATCTCGTCTCGCTTCACTGTCGTCACGGTAACAGACGGACACATGGAGCAACCAGGAGTCTTATTTTGGAGATAACGTGCTCTCTGAGACGACAGGTTTAAAAAGTGTAGATTCGTACTATTGTATTTCACCAAACAACATAACACTCATACGGTATACAATATATATAATACATATAATGTATATAGTAGATAAAACATATATAATACATATAATATATATAATAGATATAACATATATAATATAGATAATAGATATATATAAACATATATACAGTCACATATCAGTACACACAGAGATGATGTGCATCAGGAGAGCTATCACCCATCACAGACAGATGAAGAACTAAACTCGTCAGATACAGACAGGAACTGTGTGTGACCTGATGCTGATGTGGGGGCAGAGTCTACAGGTGTTTGTCTGTATGAACTTTACCTGATGAAAGTTCAGAGTCGTTCACAGTCAGTCTGTGATGACACTCACCTGTCAGCTGTTAGCAGTGAGTGTGAATATGTGTTTCCATTGATCGATGAATCAGTTATTGTCATGAAGAGAAGTCACAACTACGGTGGCCCTGAAGCTCAAAACACAAACAACTGAAGAAGCGCCATCAGTTTGACACATGAGCTGCAGATGCTCACAACACAAGTGTTTCCAGGGGACACTAAAAAGTGACGGACCTGAAGGCTAAGCTAACAGCTAGCAGCACATTTTTGCAATAATATCTGAATCATGTGATGTTGACGTTATAATAAACAAAAATTAACTCACCTTTAGCTCTTTCCAACAAAGGTAACAGGGAGCCCAAGCCGGGTCCGTCACTTTTTAGTGTCCCCTGGAAACACGTCTGTTGTGTTGTGAGTTTCTGCAGATTGTGTCAAATTGATGAGGATGTTTGTGAAGTTAGTGTTTGAGCCTCTGGGCCACCATACATAACTATTATATATTACAGTCAAGTGACATCGATGACATCACCTCTCATGATTTTGACTGACAGATGTAAATGTAACATGATAATGTGATTATAACAAACCAGATGTTGTAATTACTCATAATTAATGAGATGTGAAACAGAAATCTTCTAATGATGAGAAATAAAACTACAGACGTCTTTTAATTTGAAGAAACTTACAGGGAAAGAGAAGAATTTAAATCCTATTGATTGATCAACAGATCAATAGCTTGGTAAATATAACTGATAAATGCTCCTCTGTGAGAGGTTGCATGAATCTCTGCTCATCAATACAGGAAGTGAAGCGTGAGAAGACAAACAGATGAAGCTCTGACTCTGTTTTAACTGAAGCTCTGTGTCCCCCCCCACCCCCACCCCTCACCCCCACCCATGCAGGTAAACGTCCTCACCAGTGTCAGATCTGTAAGAAGGCCTTCAAACACAAACACCACCTGATCGAACACTCCCGCCTCCACTCCGGAGAGAAGCCGTATCAGTGCGACAAGTGCGGCAAACGCTTCTCGCACTCGGGCTCGTACTCACAGCACATGAACCACCGCTACTCCTACTGCAAGAGGGAGGCCGAGGAGCGGGAGGCGGCCGAGAGGGAGGCCCGGGACAAGGGAGGAGGAGGAGGAGGAGGAGGAGGCGTGGTGATGGGAGGTCTGGAGCCCACCGAGCTGTTGATGAGGAGGGCCTACCTGCAGGGGCTGGGGCCGCTTGGATACTCAGACCCTGAGGACCAGCAGGAGGACGGCGGCGGCGGTATGATCCTGAGGGACGTCAGCGAGGGAGGAGGAGGACGGGAGGAGAGAGAAGTGGATAACAAGACGTATGAGGACGTGACAGACAGACAGGAGGCAAGTTTCAGGGAAGGAGAGGAGGAAGAGGAAGAGGAGGAAGAAGAGGAAGGCGACAGCAGGAGCCAGATGGACGCGGTGAGGGACAAAGAGGGCAAAGACACAACGCAGCTGATGGACGAGAGTTCACGAGAAGGGAAGACAGACAGCAAGTCGGACCAGAAGGACTGATCATGTACAAAAAAAACAAAAAAAACGCTTTGAACATTTGTCCTGTTGGCGCGATTCAGCTTCTCCTGGTTCACAGGGAAGAGCTTTTATTTTGAAGGGGCTGGACAGAAATTATCGGGGGGGGGGGGTTAACTTATCTTACCCCAGTTTTATACATTATTAATTTACTCAGTTAGTCAACAGAAAACTGTGAAGAATCTGTGACCTTTGACCTCATCAGGTTTCATGTTCACATCAACATTAATGTTCATTCTTTCATGGAGAAAGTTCAAACTCATTTGTTCTTATTAAATGTCGCTCAATGTCAGGTTTAAAAAAAAAATCTTTTTAAAATATCATTTAAAGTGAAAAGCTGATTTTAACCGTTAGCTAACATGCTAGTCACAGCTGATGCTAACATGAGCTGGTGAAAATTACTGTAATTAATAATAACTCATCAATGAAAAAGTGTCTGAAGTAACGACATATAAACATATAAAATTCAGACTTTCTGGTCATGAGTAAAACCCAACATCTACTAAACGTCACAGTGTCAGTTAGTTTTTTGATTTCCAACCATAATTTAACGACCGTTAACGTCCAGTGTCTGTGGGATGAAACTAAACTTTTACCTTCAGTTATTAATTCACAGATTCTGTCGTTAAACAGTCTGATCAAAGTCTCGGACAGAACAGAGTTTTCAGTTGCACCAATGTGAAAACCTTTCGACTAATCTTTGAATTTTTGATTAAAAATGATTTCCTTTCTGCCTATTTAATTAAACAATAATCACTGCAGCTGTACTTTATTATGTCAGTGTTTCTCTGTAGGATGTGAAAATGTTGATGCTCGATATCTGAAAACCTTAGAGATCACAGACTGAACCTAAGAGTTCAAAGGTCACAGCTGTTCAACATGACTGTTCTACTGATCTGTGACATTACACTGTGTTTACGTCACAAACAGGATCAGTTCTGTTTCCTACAGTCTCGTAAAAAGGGGGCGATCCTAAGAGAATACTAATACCACTGCGGGGGGAGTCTCTGAGCCCTCAGTGATTTTTGTTCAGTCTCTAACCAGAGATGATGACCGCCAATGTCCACGTCATGAAGCTGGGTGGGATTGTTTAAAAATCCACATTATGCAAAAAAATAAATGAAATAAATTAAAAGAAGAAGAAGAAATAATAATGATGATCATTATAATGAAGTGAAGCTGTTTTAATGTACAGTATTATAAAGGCCTAAAAGCTGTGTGGTGCTATAATGTTCTTAACTTCCTGTGTCTTGTTGTGTTCGAAACCCCACTTCAGGAAATTGCACTCAACTCCCCGAATCACTACAAAATAAAAAAATTCATGAAAAAAAAAAAAGAAAAAAAAGAGGGAAAAGAGCCTCGAATACGTGGTCACATCCTGTCAGTGTTATTGTTGTATTTTGTCTTGTTTTATTTACTGTGACTTTTTTATTTTTATCCTGTTTTATTACTTTTGCCAACTAACCACACGATTTTGGGCCTCCTGATTTTTTTTATATATATGAAGGAACATTTAAACCTGTGTGATTTTCAAAATAAAATGTCAATGTGAGTCTTAAAAAGGAGAGAGAAGCGGGAATATGAAGGGCTCAGTTTAAAAGAAGAGAACAAAAAAGGACAGAGCCTTTCAGTGTGTTTTTCTCCAGAGAAAGCCTTATATGCAAACCTTCTCACCTGTGCGTTTCTGCAAAGTGCCATCCCTGTACAGTGTACATCACCTGTGTCCTGCTCTGCTTCAGTATTAAATAAATATTTCATCCTGTTTTTGATTCGTCAGTATTAGCATAGATAGACGGCAGTTTGATAGTTTACATATGTTTGTGCAATTTCTGTATTTTCGTTTGTTTTTGTTCCATGACAGTATTTTTGTCAGTATTACTTTTTTTGTTTTTTTTTAATTTTCCAACACAAATTTGTTTTTTTTTTTGTTTGTTTGTTTTTTTAATTTACCATTTTATTTATGTGACTCATTTTATATTACCTAATTTTATTTATTTCATACTGTAGTGTACAGTATTAGAGTTCCTCACAAATAGATATATTTTAGTAAAATGATGATTCTGTCATTGACTATTGGAGCAAAAATATGAATAGAGCGTTTATGGTATTTGGAAAATTTCAATTTTTCATTGTTTTTTTTTGTTTGTTATTTGATTTTTTGTTTTATTTCCTTTTAAACTACTGGAAATTCTAAATTTGGGGAACTTTTGATACGATGATTATTGTGAAAACACTGTATTTTTGAAGTAAGAAAAAAAATCCACTTTATTCATCCCACTGAAGAGGTGATGGAGGACTGATGATGATGATGATTATGATGAAGGAATTCCTGAAATGTCTGAAGTATTATTATTGAATTTTTAATTTCTCTTGGAAATGACCATGCTCGAATAAATGTAGCCAAATTAAATTTTAATAAAGCTGTGTTATTCTTCTTGTACTCTGCAGCTGTGTTTGATTCATGAGCCGACGCTTCGTGATGATGATGACAAAGTCTGTTTTTAGCGTCCTCATGTTACCGTCACATTTCTGTTCACTCACATCATCAGTCAGTTTGATCACATTAGGACGAAGACAAACACAACAACACTGAGCACAGACACTCTTATATGAAGACATGAAACACCTGATTTCACCTGATTTTTGATGTTAGAAATGTATTCTAGTAACTCAGTGATATTAAACCTGCTCTGAAATATGAAACATCAGGGATGAAAGGAAAAGGCTCAGTCATATAGCAGATATTCTGGAACCAGTGTAGGCAGAATGGGAGGATTCACTTTTACTTTAATGGAGGAAAAACTCTTTCGAGTGGGCTGTTGTAATTTGGGTTATTTTTTGTTTCTGCTGTGTCACACAGACAAGACATTGAGTTCAGTATCTTAGCCAGCGTCACTGATGTAGGGACTTTGACGCTAGATTTAGAGTTTGAGACCCATTTACTGCCTTAAAAAAAAAAGAAAATCACCTAGCGACAAATTTAGCGACTTCTTGGACAAACCTTGGCTCCACAGCAGAGTCTCAGTCCTTGGAGTGTTTGTGACCTGATGTAGTTTCTGCTCTCAGAGCCACACTCATGGATTGATTAATTCATTTAAAACTCTTTGAAGTATTAAATAAAAACTGCAGCAGAGACACAAACTGTCGGTGAACTGGAGAAACAGTGTCCTCTCTCTGTTCACTCCATTAATGAATGCTAATATAAACAGGTGAAAAGTTTATACTAGTTTAAAAACAGAGGGACAGAAATACACTGTATTCACAGATTATCCTCCTGAACACACTGACTTTACAGTCACTGAATTACCACTCCGCCTGAGAGCACCCCTATAACACTTACAGTTCGTATTTACTCCTCTGAAAATCATTCCAACAATAGACACCATGTCCCTGTGTTTGTCTCACCAACAGAATTACAACTGATAAGGTCCCTGCTAATAGTGCTAGTGCTGCTAATGCTGCTACTAATGTTCCTGCTAATACTGCTACTGCTAATGTTCTGCTCCAGCTAATGTTCCTTCTAATACAACTACTGCTGCTACTGCTAATGTTCCTGCTAATACAACTCTTGCTGCTACTAATTATTATTATCATTATTATTATTATTATTATTACCTGCTACAGCTAATGTTCCTTCTAATACAACTACTGCTGCTACTACTAATGTTCCTACTAATACTGCTACTGCTAATGTTCTGCTACAGCTAATGTTCCTTCTAATACAACTACTGCTGCTACTGCTAATGTTCCTGCTAATACAACTCTTGCTGCTACTACTAATGTTCCTGCTAATACTGCTACTGTTCCTTCTAATACAACTACTCTGCTACTATTAATCTCCTGCTAATACTGCTACTGCTAATGTTCCTGCTAATACTGCTACTACTAATGTTCTTACTAATACTGGTACTGTTAATGTTCTGCTACAGCTAATGTTCCTGCTAATACTAGTACCGCTAAGGTTCCAGCTACATGCTAATACTATTGCTAATACTTCTATTTTTAACGTACGGAGAAGGAAGCGGGAATAGGGTATCTCACCAGGCTCGGCTTTAAAAACGACGTGATGACGTTGCGGGCCGTGCGTGAGCTGTCAGTTAACGCCGGGCAGATGCAGTCAGAGGTGAGTGTCCCGCTGTCGTTGAGTGAACCGTCTGTGTGAATGAGCTCATGCCGTTGTCGGTCCTCGTGTGAGGGATTTATAACCGTGTCCCCGCTGGAAACAGCCGGGACGATGCTCCGTTAGTCCGACAGGCTTTTACCTGCGGTGACGGCGGAGGAGGAAGAACGTTTTTTTTTACCGTGAGGAGTGCTAGTTAGCTGTTAGCCGTTTGCTGCTAGCAGAGTCCTGCGGTGTGTTTTGCTTACAGAGCTAACGGAGCTAACACACAGCAGGACTGTGAGTCTCTTCAGAGCCACGTGAAGCGTTACAACACTGAACCCAGTTTATTGTGATGACACCTCAAAATGAACATCAATACATGTCGTAAATAATCTGATAGTTGTTAAAGACACGACATCAAACTGAAGAAAACTTCAGTGATGGAAAGTAATTAAGTTCATTTACTGCAGTTTTTTGTTGTTTACTGTAGCACTCAGCAGGTGACTGCAGTCAGCCATCAATTCAGTAACTTCAAAAACAGAGTCAGGGCTCCAGTTAACTTCATGTTATCTGTCAGATGTGAAGACTAACTAGTAGTTACTAATTAGTTGCTACGAACTAGTACGACGAACAGTTAGTTGTAACTAGTAACAACTAATAGCTGAGGAACATGGGTCATAATTGAAGGGAGATATTTCCAGAGATGTTCAGGAGACTCTTTCAGTATGTCAGTCCAAATGAGATTTATATTAGAGCTGACAATCTAAATCTCACTATGGCCAATTGTAAAATCCAAATCACAGAGGCTGCAGTGTAACATGATGATGATATTGTTTATTGTTAGCACCATCAGTGTAGTGGAGCTACAGAGACGCCCCGGCCTATAAATCAAATTCTCCAGAAGTAAAGGAACATGTTTGTTTAGTACAAGACCAACAAGGACACATCATCATTTTTATATTTTATTCAGTGAGAATGAAAGAAACGACCATTTACACTGAAATCACAATATGGTTTATATTTTTTGCACATCGTGCAGCTTTAACTTAGAAGGTGTGAGATTTGTGTTTTCTTTATCATGATTAATTATTATATTATCAATATTTAATAATATAATCCCAGTCCACATTTAACCATTATGTCATGAAGAAGAATCTGTAACAATAAATACATAAAAACCAAAAAAACAACTGAAAGGCACCAGTGACTGCAGCTGTCAGATACATTTAGAGCAGTAAAAAGTACAATATTTAGAAGTATAGTAGTAGTAAGTAGAAATATGAAGTAACAGAAATATTCAAGGTACTAATAAATACTTAAGAAAAGTATTTGAGTGAATGTATTCATAGTTTTTTGGGGGTTTTTTTTATCCCAAAGGTAAAAAAACTAACAAATATGAAACTAACTACAATGAAATAAAGAAAATGTCTTTACCAGGAAAAGAATTGGTCAAACTAAAGCTCAGTAATTGAATGTAAGTGTTTGATACTCAGACCGGAGACTGAGGTGAGTGTGCAGCTCACTGATGCTGAGACTCCACATTCAGAACAGGATCACAGAACATGACTCATGTTTTAAATTGAAAGTACTCAAACACAATATGAAGCAGATTTCAAGGTTTCCATGGCTCATGTCTCATAATCACGGCAGCTCAGATCCATGATGTCCTGAGAGTTCAGTTCATTTTAATTAGAAATATGAAGCGTGTGGTTCAAGATCATTTATTGATCAACAGCTGAGTTTCTGAGGTGACAGTTTATTTAATCGGCCTGACATTTTAAAGTCCCAGAGACATCAAGAATAAACGTAAAGTAAATAATCAATATTGATTTTCTCAAATTACTCTAAATATATTTATTTATTAAATTACCAACAAACTTTGTATTATTGCAACATTATTGTTTTATTCGGATATTTAGGCTCAAACTAATAATTATTTTCATTATTGATTGATCAGTTTGATTTATTAAACATTAGTTAACAGCAAAAAATTAAAAATATCCAAAATACAGTTTAGTGTAATTAATCAATTAATTGATTTAATTTAAAATTAATTTATCAAACTATAAGACACACATCTGAAAACCTGGAACATCAAATGTTCGATATTTATGCTGTAAAAAATTCTGTAACTATTGATTGATTATCACAATGGTTTCTGATTAATTTCCTTTCAGTTGACTAATAGATAAATCAACCAATCACTGCAGCTGTTTCCAGGTCTGTGGCAAAACAATCACTATTTGTTCTGCAGCTTTCAACTGTATCACATGTTCTTCATCAGATGATTATATAATAAGATATTAATATCAATGAGATATCAAATCTGATCAGGTCTTTGTCTAAATCACAATAATGTGTAACATAATGTTATGTGTGATGTTATATACAGTACAGTACAGTGTGTCGTCTGCGTAATCAGTGTGATTATTGATTAAGTGTGTGATCGTTAGAGAGTGAGCTGTGCTCTGATGGCAGATCAAAGCTGCTCAGACTCAGTCCTGGATCTGGATCCGGTCTGAGTCTCACAGTGCAGTGATGAAGAGAATCGAGACAAATATAAAAAGGCTTTTGATATTGTATATATGTATATACACACATACACATATTTATGTATATATAATTGTCACACTGTCCAGGAAGAACAGTCTCATGTCCCTGAGACCCCGTTAGACCTCCAACTCTTCCCATCTGTTACTGAGAGAGAATAAACATCAACAACTCGTATACGTCTCCTTCATTCCTACTGAAGGTCGTTTTACTTACTGTCCAACACTGTGGATCAGGTCTGATGTGGATCAGGTCTGAGCTGAGGTCCCAGACTGATCAGACCTACAGAAGTATTTCCTGAACGGAGTCTGACACTGATTGACAGTCTGATAAAAGTGAGTGAGTCTCCATTGGCTTCAGTTCATTATAGATCTGATCAATACGTCGTCATGAGCTCACACGGGCCTGATGGGTAATACTGAGCTTTTTCATATTCACATGTTTCTACATTGACAGATATAAAAACAGTCAAAGGGCCTTTAATGTTTTAATGTGTCATATCTGTATCTGTTGGATTATTTAATGTGTGTGTGTATAAATATAAAATTCCAATGTGGATGCTGTTATAAATACAGTGGGAGTGAATGAACCTTTAATGCTTCATCCCACTGAGAGTATGAACAGTGATCACTTATAGGTGGAGCTTGACTGTTTTAAATATTATATTAATGCAGCACACAGCTGTGGTCAGCACAGTGGGGGTGAATGGGTCTGCACTGACTGTAGTGCAGGTTCTAACTCAGACACAACATGTGGCCACACTACAGCTGATCGTACACAAACACTGAGTCATGATTATCGAGGGAACGCTGAGTCTGTTGTCACTGGATAAAAGCTGATTTTTGTTGGTGTCGTCTCAGAGACGTGTGGAGGACATGACGTGTCGTCTTTGTAGCAACGCTTCCTTTATGATCTGTTGTCACACATTTCACCTTCTTATCAAACCTGTGATCTGGAAGTTACACGTGTTCTTCCAGCTGTCCAACAGACCAGGGACAGTTTCCCTCCTCAGGGTTTGAAGTGTCGTACTGGTTTTCAAAGCCTGTGTTGGTGCTAACACTCCAGGCATCGATCCATCAGAGGATCAGCTGATGGATCCACCAGAGTCCAGAAGAAGACTCAGACCTGGTTCTCAGGTGGTCTGGTCCCGTGTGGTCCACATCAAGGTCCAGCTGTCACTACAGCTCTACCTGTCTCTGGTCACATTAATTAAATTGATTAAATCATAATTAACAGAGTGACGTTTCAGTCCGGTGAATCAGGTCTGATGCTGGATCACATGTGGGTGGTTTGTCAGAGCTAATGAGAGCTGCAGAGTGATGATGATGATGATGACGTCATGAGGATGAAGCAGTCCTGCAGCCCACAGATTGATCACAGACATCAGCAGAAACATTTCCAGCCTGGTTCCACTGACTGACTGTAGTTTCCCGCCTCTGACTCAGCCTCGGGTCTCGGCTCTTATTAACCCTTCGCTGCTCGCTGGGGGGGGGGGAGTCCCCACCGGGGGAAATGGATGACATTAACCCTTTGTTTCATGTGTGTCGGCAGCTCTGAGCAGGAAAGGTGTCTAGGTGAGATGAGTCTGCGAGCTGGAATCCCCCCCCACCCCCGCTGTGGTTTGTGGGGACTGTTGTTGTTTAAGGTGGAATGAGGAGATCTCTCACATTTACTAACAAACTTCCTGTCAGGACGGTCAGGCTGGACGTGGGCGGCACATACGCTTTTATTTACTTTCTCTGTTTCCACCCTTCCTTCTCTTCCTCATTCCTTTTGTCCTTCCTACCTAACCTCGTTACAGCCTTCTCTTCTCTGTCCTCGTTTTCATCTGTCCATTTTCTCACCTTTATTTTTTAATTAATCAATTAATTGTTTTTTTTATCATTGTTGTTTTTGACCTTTGAATTTGTCTTTGTTTACTCTTGTTTTTTGCGTCAGTGTTGGTTTAAAAGACTTTAATCTATTTTTCTCTAACTTTCATTTCTTCAGTTGTCGACTGACTTTGTTCCATTTGCCTTTTTTATCATGCTGCGTCATTTTTTATTTCCATTGACATTTTTCATTTTATTCAATTTTTCCACTTTAATTTTTGTTAGTTGAGATAATTGTTTTGTCAGTCATTTGATTTGTTTGTAGTTATTGTTCCAACATTTATTTTTCCATTGAACTTCATTAGAAATGTTTTTTAGGAAACAGATGATGTTTTTCTGTCTACTATCAAAACAACATCACTGACAAATATAAATATAATGCAACAGAAAAACTTAAACTTTGGATTGTTTTCCTTTTTTGTTTAGTTTTTTTAATTAAACTGTTGTTTTCCAGTCTTGACCAGACTCAGGACCACTCTGAGGGTCACAGACAGACTCATATCATCATCATCATCATTATTATTATTATTATCATTATTATTATTATCATTATTATTATTATCATCATTATTATTATTATTATGATGATGAATGATTTGTCTTTGTGTAGTGACGGACTCTTGCTGTGTGGATCTTCACAGTGAGACACTGAGCCGTAGAAGTGGCTGATCTGGTCCAGACCAAGGCCTGAACCTGAACCCAGTCCACATTTCTTCATTTTCAAAAGGTCACGATCCACCGCGTTAATCAGACCATCTCTGCCCCACCCCCACCCCCGACACGTTCACATTTTCATATTTCACATTATTTTGACAGCATTCAGGAAATAGATTGGACCCTTTCAGCACAATAGAGGACATTACGCCAGTGTTTCCAATGAGATTCTTATTTTGAGGCATTTGCATTTAACCTGTGCTGAGCCGGGGACTGACGGAGACGGAGACAGAGACGAGCGCAGAGCAGATTGCACAGCTCATTTCCTTCTCCAGATATGAGTGGCATTACGAGCTACAGGAGCAGATATGGACTGATTGAGCAGTCTGTGGGCGAGCTGAGTGCTGCTGCCGCTGCATTAGCTCCCATTGTGGGCAGCTAAATGGAGGGCGGACTGGAAATCACTGGGAGGGGATTCAGTGGAAGGACAGAAAGCTCAGGGACTGTAAGTCCTCCACTTCCTGCTGCCGGCAGCGTAAACCTCCTGGCATCATAATGGAGCCGGAGCTGCTCTATCAGGACACGTCGCACACAGAGTGTCTTCCTGCTCATTGTGGTTGGTTACTGCTCAGTTCACTTTGTGCAGCAACAATAGTTTTTCATTTAGTGGCTGAAAGGAGGGAACGTTCAGGGAGATCAGCTCCTGGTTCAGGACTACGTCGCCTCCATCAGGCTGCAGCTCGTCTCACATTGAAATGAGTCGACTCACTGAGGTCACGACCTCTGTGTCCTCTGTCTCAGGGTTTTAACTTGTTGTTGTTGTTGTTATTATTATTATCATTATTATTATTATTATTATTACATGTGTATTGTATAGTAAATAGATCAATCAGTTTCCTGATCAACTGTGATCAGTTCTACAGCAACAACGTGGAACAGATGTTAATCATCCACCTGATGAACGACCAGGATCGTCCTGAGTCTCTGACAGGAAGTGGACGCAGATCTGTTTCCTGTTTGAGATGATTATTTATTAGATCACTCAATTCCAGTTCTGATAAATCAATAATCATTAGCTCGTTAAGAGTTTGTTATTGATCCTGAGACTTCGTCTCAGTCAGTGACGTGTCAACAACCAGGAAATGGTCACATGACGATGAACCAGAAGATTATTGGTTTAAACTCATTGATTTACTAAAATAGTTGTTGATTAATTTGTTAATCAATAACATGCCCCCCCTCTCTGTCAGCCCCCCCCCTCCCCCAGCGTCCTGCTGCTGGAAGCGTTTTACGGAGGATCTCACAAACAGCTGATTGACCTGCTGAAGGAGAACATCGACGGCTGCTCGGTCTTCACTCTTCCCGCCAAGAAATGGCACTGGAGGGCGAGAACCTCGGCTCTGTACTTCAGCCAGAACGTCCCCGCCTGTCCGTCATACAGGTGAGTCAGTGACATCACAGGATGTGGAGCAGTGAGGAGAGTCTGACTGCAGGTCTCAGTGGACCCCCTTCTCCACAGCCTCCTTGTGGTTCAGTGGAGGTGGTCACAGAGCCGGACCTGGTTTGAGCGACATGGAGGGACAGACATGGAAACTGATCCAGATCAGACCTGGATCCTGATCCACATGTTCTCTAAATATCTGAGATCAGGCTCAACAAAGGGTCTCCTTAACAAAGGTGTCCTGGTCTGTGTGAACCGTCCTGATGTCTCAGACCAGACCAGAGACTAAAGACCAGACCCTGATGCTTTAGCTGTGTCTGATAACTCAGTCACTCAGAGAAGATACTGTGTGTGTGTCTGTGTGTGTGTCTGTGTGTGTGTGTGTGTGTGTCTGTGTGTGTGTCTGTGTGTGTCTGTGTGTGTGTTTCTGTGTGTGTGTGTCTGTGTGTGAGAGAGATGTAGGACTTTGATGTGGTCTCTCACTGACACCCAGATCTGGATTAGACTGGCTTCCTGGACCTGGTCTGTAGAACAGGTCTGACTCAAACCAGATGAGTCCTGTCCTCAGAGGAGAGAGGACTTCCTGTGGATCAGGACTCATGTGGTCTAACAGGCTGTTTCTGTGTCCAGTGGATCAGACTGATCCTCAGATCTGGTTTCTTACTGCAGCTCTGAGCTCCTGGTCCTGGTCTGAGTCTAGGAGCAGGATCTGACTGAAACATGACTCTCTCACCAGTTATGATGGGTCCACTGAGTCTGTACTGGTCTTTCTTTGCAGAGTCCTGTTCAGCAGCTCGGTCCTGAACCTGTGTGAGCTGGTGGCTCTCAGACCAGATCTGGCCCGTCTGAAGAAGGTCCTGTACTTCCACGAGAACCAGCTGGTTTACCCGGTCCGCAAAGACCAGGACCGAGACTTCCAGTACGGATACAACCAGATCCTGTCATGGTAAACTCCAGAGTCCTGCTCCTCTTTGTGTCCTTTACTACAGGTGGTCTTTACTGGTCTGACTCTGTACTGGTCTACATCACCATGAAGTGATGACATAGCTGTGATGTCATCAAACATCACAGTGTGTTTCCGTGGTTACAATCATTAATTAGTAGTAATTGCAGAGTTGATTTTTAATAGACCAACAATATAAAAATTAAGAGCAGCATCAACTCACTGTAACTGTTTGTTTCAATTAGCCTGTCAGGTGATGGGTTAACGAGCTGGGCTGACATGATTGGTTAATGAGCTGACGTGCTGCAGTGAGTCATGCGAACTCACAGCTCTAACAGATACTGATTGTTGTTGATCTGCACAGCAGCATGTCAATAACCCCCCCCCCCCTAACCTCGTTAAGACTGATCATTAAGACTGTGACTGGACTGAGGCCAGATTACTTTACTAATGTGAATTATAATGAAACTCAGAGACTCAGCCTGAGCTGCTGCTGTTTGATTCCCGGCCCTGCAGACGACCAGAGGAGTGATTGGTAACAACAAACCAATGAAGATAATCAATTAGTCGATCGAGTGAAAAATAATGATAAACTACTTCACAATCAAAACATCAGATTTTCTTCGGTGACTTTGGTGAGAGGTTCACACAGAAACAGAAGTGGACCAATCAGAGAATTTGTTTTGGTTCATAACCCTAACCAAAGAAGAAGAAAATATAAACAAAGATGAAACAGGTATTGATACAGAGAGCTTCAGTGTGATGTTAACACTTCAGTTCTCTCATGTTCCATGTTTCATTTGTTCTGATCTCAACAGATCAATCATCAAATCATGTTGAGAACCAGAACCGCTCAGTCCCTGTCAGATCAGGTCTAAACAATACAGGACTTTAGACCAGGTCCCACAGGTACTAGGTCTTGGTCTCTGTCCCATTAACAGTAGCTGTGATCAGCTGTGATCAGCTGTGTGTATCATGATGTTCAGAAACTCAGAAACAGGAGGGTTCTTAAGTTCCAGGTCACTTCCTGTTTATCCAGAGTCATAGAAAATATTAAATATGAACCATCTGCGTAAAGTTTGTCATACTTAATGTGAAGTCTTGAGTAATGGCTAAAAAGTACTTTGTAAGGTCACACTGATTTTGACCTTTGACCTTTGACCACCAAAATCTAATCAGTTCATTAAGTCCAGGTGAATGATTGTGTCAAATTTGAGGAAGCTCCTTCAAGGAGTTACTGACATGTTGTGTTCATGTACAGACGGACAACATGAAAACAAAATGGCTGCTGCTCTGACTGTCGCTGACATGACATGAGGAAGTCTGTGAACCATCTCCACTCCTTTCTCTTTTCTCTTTTCTAGTGCTGTTAGCCGTTAGCTAAGAGATAAGACACAACATGAATGTCTCAGACTGTCTTTGTGTCCTCAGCCTGGTGTCAGATGTGGTGGTCTTTAACTCTCTCTTCAACATGGACTCCTTCCTGTCCTCCATCTCCTCCTTCATCAAGAAGATCCCAGACCACAGGCCCTCAGGCCTGGACCAGCTGATCCGTCCTAAGTGTGTGGTCCTCAACTACCCAGTCCAGTTCCCTGATGTCAGCAGGTCAGTGTGAGGCTCCTCCTCCCCAGACAGTGATTACATCCTGATCTGCAGGTCTGAGATCAGCTCAGTGGTTCTGACCTGGACCCTGGTTCTGGTCCTGATCTGCAGGTCTGGTCTCTGTTAGTTCAAATGAACAGCAGCTGTTGGTTCACATCAAAGTGACCCAGATCAGGGATCTGGTTAGACTGGGAGCCCACCAGCAGAGTCCTGGTCCAGGTCTGTAAGGGGGGGGGGGGTGAGTGGTGAGTGTGAGAGAGCCTCCTTCTCATGTAGAACATTTAAACATGTAACGTACATCATGTTGTCATGGTAACAGTTATTATGTTACACTGACTGTAACTGAGTGTTGCCACGTTCTAAACAGTTCATCCCAGTGACTGAATGTAAAGAGGAAACTGAAGGATCTGGATCAGGGGAGGTCCTCCTCAAACCCAGTTCAGTCCTGTGAGTCACAGTGAAGTGAATAAAAATGTTCAGCAGAAGAAGAAAAGAGACGGAACAAAATGGTGTCTTTGTGGGGGGGTCTGGTGTGTGAATGCTGAACCCCCCCACCCCTCTCTTTGTGGTCTGGGTGTTTGTCGTCTCCATCTATCAATCTGCCTTTGACTGGTGGACTTTTGTAATCTAATAGTGATTGACCTGAGCCGGCAGAGACCTGCAGCGGGACACAAAGACATCCCATCCATCAGGCCGACGCTGACTTCAGTCCGAGACCACATCGATGTGGACTCACGTGACCAGCAGGTGTCTGAGTCAGACTCGGCCTTTTCTTCTTCTCTGCTCAGGCTGTTTGGTCTTTGTTCAGCTGTCGGACTCTGCTGGTTTGCCATAGACCAGGATCTGATCCAGTCTGATGATGATGGATCTCCTCTCCGTCTGCTCCATTCTGGTTTTGTTTGTTTGAGGTCTCCTTGGATGTTTTGAATCCAGGTGGGTCCAGTTCTGTTGCAGCAGGTCTTAAGTCTGTAAATTAGACATTAAAGTTTCTTCAGGTCTCCTCAGGATCAGGTCTGATTATCCACTGGTCTAATCAGGATCTGGTCTTCCTATCATGGGTCTATCTAGGACCAGGTCTTGGTTCTGACATAGAGTGTCTTGGGCCCCTTATTTCGGTCTCTGTGAAGACTGGCACTTCATGGTGTTAGCTTAACAAGCTAATGTGGGATAAGCTAATGGTAGCTTGTTAAGCTAGCTTGTTAAAAAAAAAAAACATTGGCTTAAAAAGCTGTTAGCCTAAACAAGCTAATATTAGCCATAACGAGCTATTTTAGCCATAACAAGCTAACATTAGCCTAACAAGTCAATGTTAGCCTAAAGAGGCTAATGCTGTTAGCCTGAAGAAGCTAACGTTAGCCTCTGGACATGAACATGATGATATCTCTGAGCTGCTGGGTCTGTCTGACCTGGGATCTGATCCTGAGCTGCATGTGTTGGTGTCTCTGGAGTTTAGAGATGTGATTCAAATCTTTATTGATTGGTCATTGTTGATCCTGATCAGGACCAGACTCTTCTTCGTCTCTGGTCTGAGAATAATCCTCCTGACGTCACAGTTTTCCCTCCTTATGAATCTTACATAACCTCATGTTGTGGTCCAGACACTCCTTTAAACGACGAGACTCAGACCAGGACTGATCAGGACTTTGGTCCTTCTCTGTGGTTCCCTGCTGGTCTCTGCAGGTCTGACCTGGTCTCTGCAGGTCTCTGCTGGTCTCTGCTGGTCTCTACAGGTCTCTGCTGGTCTCTGCAGGTCTGACCTATTCTCTGCAGGTCTGACCTGGTCTCTGCAGATCTCTTCTGGTCTCTGCAGGTCTGACCTGGTCTCTGCAGGTCTGACCTGGTCTCTGCTGGTCTCTGCTGGTCTCTGCAGGTCTGACCTGGTCTCTGCAGGTCTCTGCAGCTCCTGCAGGTCTGACCTGGTCTCTCCTGGACTGTGGTCTCCAGCCTCTTGTGATTAAATGGTCTAAAGTAAATGGAGCTGTGACCTTCATCTCTTCATGTTTAATCAGACTCAGAGGTGAGGTCATCACACAGATTACTGTTGATTTATCAATAAGATAATTGCCCCCCCCATGTTTTTATTGCCTCCAGTCAAACATCTAATTTCTAAAATGGATTATTGAATCACGTTTTCCCAGAGGCCTTGAGGCAGAGACATCGCTGTGACCACAGCCGTCCATCTGTCTGTCCAAATGTCCACCTGTCTTTCTGGAGTTGTGTTCAGTGTCTGTGTCTCCACGTCTTGTTATTGTCTCCATGTGGTGAAGTCTGTCTCCTTGTTCATGTTTCAGTGGTTAAATGTCTTTGTCTTTATGACTGAATGTCTCTGTCCAGATGTCTCAATGTCTTTGTGACTAAATGTCTTAATGTCATGTTGTAGTCCTGTATTGTCCTACTGTCTCACTGTCTTCACACTGTCTCCATATATTTTTCCTTCATGTCTTCACGTCCTCATCTCAGCGTCTTTGTTTTTATTACATGTTAAAGTTTTGCTGTTTTTCTTTCTCCACGTCTCGTTTCTTTAAATCATCTTTACTCTTTAAAGTCATGTGATGATTGTCTCTCTTCCTCTTCTCTCTGTTGAGGCGGAGTGTCTGTCCTCAGGACCCGCAGCGTCTCTTTGATCTGATAATAACAGATATAATAATTCTGCCTCAGGTGACGCTCCTTAACATAACGAGCTGTTTTACCTCAGAACGACCTCCTTCATCCTAACTGGAAATGTTCAACTGTGAAGGTGAAACAGGGACTTGTTGGTCCTGGTCCTGGTCCTGAGACTGATTGGATGAAGACTTGATTAAAGTCGTTGGTCTTGACTCTGGACTCTGACTGAGAGATTAAATCTTTTCTCTGAAAATTTTTAAAGACCCAAAATGTTTCAGTCTTGAACCTGAAGAGGGACTTGACTGTCTGGACTCTGGACTCTGGAACATCGGGTCTGCTGATGAAAACCTTCAGACACTGACAGTCTGGTCTGGTCCGGTCCTCAGTCCTCGTAGATCTGATCTTCCTCATGAATCATGTTGCAGATCCATCAGTGGTGATGAGGCATTCAGGGGTGTTCAGGAGAGTTGGAAGCTGCTGTGTCGATCTGCAGTTGTTGACTGATTTCTTCTTCCTCTTCTTGTTGTTTTCAGGCTGCTGCCCAAACCCAAACTGGTCCTGCAGCAGCAGAACAGACCTGAGGAACCTCAGACTCCACGGTGAACACGCCTCACATATTCTCGCCCTCCACAACAGGAGACAGGGGTTTATTATTGTGAAGGTTATACTCCACACTGACACACTGTATCTGGGTTTCTGCAGGTCTTAGTCAAGTCAACTTTTATTTGTATAGCGCCAATTCACAACATACGTTATCTCAAGGCTCTTTCCAGACAGAGCAGGTCTAGACCTTCTCTTTATATTATTTACAGAGACCCAACGGTTCCCACCAAGAGCAGCACTAGGAGACAGAGGCAAGGAAAGACTTCCTTTAAAGAGGCAGGAACCTCGAGCAGAGAGAGAGAGAGAGAGAGAGAGAGAGAGAGAGAGAACGTACAGGGATAACAATATTAATTATAGTGACAGTAGCAGCAGTAACAGCGATAGTTATGTAGTGGCAACTGTAGTGCTCCTACTGATAACAGTAGTAATGGCAGCTAATAACATTAATAATAATCATTGTTAATTACAGTAATTTGAGCAGGTTCAGCAGCAGGTGAGAAACAGGATCATGGAGCAGTAGCTGGTCTGCAGCTGCAGGTCCAGACTCTGCAGCTCCGGAGGCGGGAGGAGCTGCAGGGAGGAACAGGGAGGAGAAGGAGAAGGGAGAGAGAGGCACACAGCCTGGGAGCTTCATGTGCTTGAGGGAAAAAACAAACAGTTAAAATGATGCAGTGATTTTCCGAAAGTTTACAGTGATCTCGTCGGCATGACAACCTGGACTATAGTGTACTGAGTTTACTGGTTTATTGAGACTGAGGCCCACCTGCTGGTGGTAGGATGGCAGCAGGTACAGAGCCTGGGTCTGTAAAAGAATAAGAAGCTAACTGAGAGTTAAGGCATGAAAATACATTTTAGGTTTAGATTTGAAAGTCTGAACGGAGTCAGACAGTCTGATGTCAGCAGGGAGGTTGTTCCAGAGCAGAGCAACTGAGAGGAAAAGGCTCTTTAACTCTGGGAACGGAGGGCACGAGCTGGAGTATAAGGTTTAAGCAGATCAGACAGGTATGAAGGAACAAGTCCATGTAGAACCTTATATGCCATCAAAAGCACCTTTAAAGTCTGAAAGGAAGCCAATGAAGGGAGGCTAAAATCGGTTTAATGTGGTCAACTTTTCTTGACTTAGTAACACTGAGTTCAGTTCTTTAGAAACAAAGACGTCAGAAGGTTTGAATATTGCAGACTCACCTACAGCTGCAGGTGATGTCACTGTCTTGCATCCTAATAGGTCAGGAGTCATTTCAGTGCAGTCATTGGTCACTGTGTTACAGAACAGCTTTTAGGTTTTTCTCTTAAATAATTAACCTTTTAAAATGAATCTTAAAATGACGAGATCCATTTCACAAAGTGAGAAAAGATTAAAAAAAGATCCTTATTATTATAAAAGATGTTAAACATCTAAAGAAAGTGGTTTTATTTGAGTAAAGAACATCATGTTGTTAATAGACAGATAATATAATAATAATAATAATAATAAACTTATTTTCTTGAAGTCCACTCGTTTGTTGATGGATGTCATTCTGACTCCGACAGGTGTGAGGAGCATCAGCAGGATCCACATCAGTCCACATCTGAACCCAGACCAGACCAGAACCCTGTTCCTGAGGAGGACTCTGAGGACCGGGTCAGACCTCTGCATATCGTCTGGCCTCACAGGTGGTGAGTTCGATTCCTTAGAGGAACAGAGACGTGGTTCCCGCCGTCAGTCACATGATGCGTTCAGGTCACACAGACTTCGTAAGAAATGTTGATTTATATTATATGAAATCAACATTCATAAAATTTAAAATCATTCTAAATAAAACCATTGTTAAAATTAAAAGTAATTTACATGAAAACAGTTTAAAAAGTCATATTATAAAATATTTATTCATTGTAATATGTTAAAATATGAAAAATGTACTTTTATAAATATGTGATTTAAGAAAACATAAAAACATGTATTATGAATTTCATATGAAAAGTCATGGTGAGATATAAAAAGAAAATCAAGTTGGAAAGTGATGATGTCATTTTAGTTTTAAAATGAGAATACGAGTCCTGCCATAATTTACAATAACAACATTAAACAACATTGTAACAACAAAAGTTGTCCAGACATTATGAACATATAGATGCAATTTACAATTATGTCATAATATAATAAAATCAAAATGTTTATAAGGTTGTAATCTGTGAAGACTGTGATTTAAGTCACTAGAAAATGAACAAATCCTTCAATTCCAAAAATAAAGAAGAGTCAAAAGATACAGGTACAGATATTCATTTAAATATGAAAACATTGTGTAAAGACATGATGGTGATTTAATCCTCTGAGAGAGAAGTCCTGATGTTTATATAAACCTGAGTTGAACATGTTTTAAATCAGATTATAGAACGTGAAGTGGAGCGTCGTCTCTCTGTTTTTCACCTTCTCTTGTATCAGTAACAAAAGCAGCCGCCATGTAATCTGCTCTGAACTGAGCAAAACACAGATGGATTAGAGCTGCGACGAGCAGGCCGCTTTTATTCTGGTAGGATGGAGGATTTCCACAGAGATGTTCTGTTAATCTCTCTGATTGAAGCTTCTCTCCATTTCATCTGTTTTTATGTTTAATCTGTGTGTGGCCTGGATCCTCAGATTACAGCTCCGTCTTATTGCTGCTGCTGCTTTTCGGTGGGGGGGTGGGGGGGAGGGAGGGGGGGGGGGCGTGGCGGGATGAACAGAACTAGTTTCAGGTGAAATTGCTGCAGCCACCTGGAGCGTTATCGCTGTCCTGCGCGAGGGGGGGGGGGGGCGGGGGGGGGGCTGAGGTTAAATCTGTGTGAGAGCTTTATCTTGATCAGGATCAGCTTTTACCTCTAGAGGATTGAAGTCAGACTCTGATTGAAAGAGAAAAAATAAAACGACAAACAGCAGGTGGTGAAGATGCAGCCGTTCGTCTGTGGAGGGAAAATTCACTCTGATTTTATTTCACCGTCAAAATCACCTGAATTCATCAGGATTGATTTGCTCTCTGATGGTTTTTTACAGTTCATCACTCAGAAAATAATTCATGTTGCTCAGTTCATTTTCTTCCGTCCAGTCAATTGTAAACTGAACCTCTCTACTGCAAGATAATCAATCGATCCTGTCATTGATCAGACATCTGTCCTCTGTACAAGAGAGAAAAGTTCAGCAGCTGTTTGTTCATCAGTAACAACATAACAGTAGAACAGCTGATGTTCTCTCTGTTCTGTGTTCTGATGTTCAGCACTCAGCATCTGACCTCAAACATAAAGGTTCTGTAATAATAAAGATTTTACATTTTTACAGTACAGTGTTGTATAGTGTATTTTACAGTACAGTGTTGTACAGTGTATTTACAGTACAGTGTTGTACAGTGTATTTATAGTACAGTGTTGTACAGTGTATTGTACAGTACAGTGTATTTACAGTGTATTTTACAGTGCAGTGTTGTACAGTGTATTTACAGTGCAGTATTGTACAGTGTATTTTACAGTGCAGTGTATTTATAGTACAGTGTTGTACAGTGTATATAACAGTACAGTGTAGTTACAGTACAGTGTTGTACAGTGTATTTACAGTGCAGTATTGTACAGTGTATTTTACAGTGCAGTGTATTTACAGTACAGTGTTGTACAGTGTATATAACAGTACAGTGTAGTTACAGTACAGTGTTGTACAGTGTATTTTACAGTGCAGTGTGTTTGAATTCATAACTCACCTCTTGGGTTCCACATGAAGCAGAATATTCAATGAGTCGTCAGTAAATGAGACCATCAGTTTTTCCTTTTGGTTCCTCATGAATATTAATCAGCTCACTGCTCTGCTCATCTGGGTTTATTACTAACACTGCTTCATGTGGACCCTGATGATGATGATGATGGTGGTGAAGATGAAGGACCACAGAGATGGTTGTAGACGGGGAGGTGTCAGAGTGAAACAGTTAAGTCCACAGTCTGAGGCTGGACCTTGAACACATCGTCAGTATTTAATTAGCCTGAAGAATGAAACATGTAAATGATCTAAGACCAGTTTAACATGAGTCATACAGACATGTCAGAGACATGTTGAAATGACGTGATGACCATGAATGCATCACAGTACAGGTGATCATGTCACCTGACACCTGCAGGAAGACTCGAGCCAATCAGAGCAAATGAAACTAAGTCATGATGTATCAGCTGGTGATCCGATGATGTAATCAGCTGGTGATTTGATGATGTCATCAGCAGCACCAGTGACAGCAGTGACACTGTAGAACGAAATGAGACGTTTTCCTCTGGTTTCTGATCAATCAAGACAAAATGATCGATCAATAAGTAAACAATAAATTGCTGATTCATTGATAAGATCAATCATTGGTCGGAGCTTTGGTCCAATGAAAACTGAAATGTCACGACTCGGTTTGAATTCTGAATCTGTTTCCTTCAAAACAGATGGAGCTGATTATATTATTGATTAATCAGCTGGTTATTTTCTGATCAGCTGATTAATGGTTCAGGTTGCACAGATTCACTTCCTGATTTACAGTCAGACAAGCAGAAAATCGTCTCATGAAGAAGAGACATTTAATTAAAATGGAACACTTATCATTAGTTATGTTCTGTTAACTGATAATTGATTATTGACTGGTCACAGATTTATTCAGTCTCACAAGATTTGAAGCCGTTTTTCAGTTTTCTGACTTTTTGACTGATCAACTGATCAATAGAAAATAATCAGCAGATCAATCAGTGGTGAAAGAAGCTGAAGCTTTGAAGTTTGTTTTATCAACACGTTCATTCAGAGAGAACAGCAGCTGGAACCAATAACTGATCATTTCTAATTGATGAGTCGATTGATTATTTCAGATCAACATGTGGAGGAAGAAACTTCCGTCCAGTTTCAGTTTGTTTTAACGGAGTAAAACCCTGACAGTCAGAGCCTCCCTCAGTAATTAGCTCCCACTCCTCCTCTCGGGGGGCGGGGGGGGGTATCTCCCTCTCCCTGTCTTTGTCCTGTCTGTATCAGCGCTGGGGGAATAGAGGGATTGGCTGCTCACAGAAGAGTTAAAAAGGTTTTGGGGGGGAATGAGGGAATTATCTGAGTCCGGGGGGGCGACGGGCTGAGAGCTGAAAATGAGAAGAAATAATCTGCTCACTAAAACCTCACCTTAGGAAATCCACGAGGTGCTGCTGACTGCAGGCTCCGCCCCCTGACCTTCACACTGTCAGTGTGCAGCTGCTCACCTTCGTTAACAGTAGCTTTGTTAGCAACAGTTTCATTGACAATAGCTTCATTAATAACAGCTTCATTAACAATAGCTTCATTAACAGCAGCTTTGTTAACAACACGTCGTTAACTACAGCTTCATTAACAGCTTCGTTATAACAGCTTCATTAATAACAGCTTCATTAACAATAGCTTCATTAACAACAGCTTCATTAACAATAGCTTCATTAACAATAGCTTCATTAATAACAGCTTCATTAACAATAGCTTCATTAATAACAGCTTCATTAACAATAGCTTCATTAGCAGCTTTATTAACAACAGCTTTGTTAACAGCTTCATTAACAATAGCTTCATTAGCAGCTTTATTAACAACAGCTTTGTTAACAGCTTCATTAACAGCTTTATTAACAACAGCTTCATTAACAGCTACTGCTACAATCATTTACAGGGCAAAAATCAAACGATAATAATCATTAAATATCTGCTCATTAACAAATGAGACACTGAATTCACCTGTAGTGTGAATAGTGTTTATTTATTAATCAGCTATTTTTTACCCACAATCACCTGCTTCATATTAAAAATTAGTTTCCCAGCTGATGTTGTATTAATATTGCCATGTTCCATTAATCAGCTGTGTTCTGTATTAACACTCTCATTAATCCTGATCATAACGACCAAATATCCATCTTAGATTTTAACCCTTTAAATCCCAGTTTGTTAAAGCCACTGTTGTTTTTACGAATTAAAAAAAATTTAGATCCAGGTGTTCTCTGCACACACACACACACACACACACACCATCTTATTTGCATACATTGATTCCAGTGGTCCACAGTGCTCCATGATACAATATAATATAGTGGCTCTAACGTGTGCTCCACAGGACAAATGTGACTTCATCTGGAGGGATAGAAAAACATTTGGAGCCAGAACTTCAGAATAAAAGCCTAATAAAATACAATGATGATTTTATGTTGTGATGACAGGAAATTAAGTTTTAATGGGGACGTGTTTCCTTAAGGTCCTGAGTGTAACTATTCAGAATATTTTAGAGTATAAAAAGAGCTGAGGGTGAAATTACAAAAGTAAAAAATAAAAACTGAAAACACAACAAAAATTAAATTAATTTTTTATCGTGTTGAACAATTTTTTTCCAGATACCGTGGTGATGAAACAACCTAGAGTTTGTCTCATACAGTCTTCTCTTTCCATCCTGATACCTGAGTGTCTGACTGTCTTTAAACGCAGCACCATCTGTCTCTGTAACACTCTGAATTCTGAGAGCTCTTGAACATCTCTTGAACCTCACACCTGCTTCTCTGGTTCCTGACTATCATGTGAAACCTCTGCTCAACACCTTAGAGCGTCAACTCATCCACCTGCTGCGCCCTCACCAACAGGCCTCCAGGGAGCTCCTCCTCCTGTGTGTGTGTGTGTGTGTGTGTGTGTGTGTGTGTGTGTGTGTGTGTGTGTGTGTGTGTGTGTGTGTGTGTGTGTGTGTGGGAGTGAGGTGAGTGAGTGCAGAGGTACGGGAGCGTGAGACGAGAGAGCGAGATGGTTGATGTTCATAGGGAACATGATAAAAACCCGGAGCTGTTCTTCTCCACGCTGCTGAAACTGAAGGACAAACATCTGCACTTCCACCTGTCGGTGCTTGGAGAAACCTTCACTGACGTACCAGGTACAGACACACACACACAGTCTTTACCAGGTTTGTGGTCCATGGCGGTGCTGACGGTTTTGTGTCACTTTATGGTGGCACGGAGGACTGGATCAGGACTGGACTGAAGCAGAGATTTCACATATGGATCAAAGTTTTTTTTGTTTTTTTTTAAATGGGTGTTTAATCTTTGAAGTTATTGATGGTGACAGAATCTGAGCCGATGAAAAGGATTTGTCTCGTCAATAACTGATTGATGTTCAGTGGGTCAAGGTTCTGCCATGAGTTTCAGATCTGGTCCAAGATGCTGGACCCATGAAGACCTGCTCAGTCCAGTAGACAGCAGGTTGTCAAAGTTTGCTCTGACTTTTCTCTCACCTTTAAAACTCCTCATGTTTCATTGAAATGATGGTCTGTGTTATGAGATTATGTGGAGGTCAGAGGTCACACTGCCTCAGCCTCAGGACACTTTTTAATTGATAAAACACACCATGTATCATCAGCTGATGATGCTATAATGACTCTGTGTGTGTGTGTGTGTGTTTTAATGTAATGAACGCACTCTGATCAAACACACTCTGAGATATTGAGACATAAAGTTTTACTGCAGCATAAACACACTGACCGTAAATCCAGCTTCATATTTCCTGATTAGCTTCATGAGCGCTGGAAGGCAATCACATTAGGACAATTTTAATCAACTTTGATTTTGTTAATAGGGTCAGAGTATTGATTGTGTTCACCCCTCACCTGTTTGTCTTTCTGCTGCGCTCATAAATGTCCACATTCATAAACATCAGCTGTTTGAAAAAAGACTTTTATCTCATTTCTCCTTCTCATTATTTACAGTGGGACATGTTGGATTTGATTTAAAAAAGTTGAATTCTTCTTCTTTACGATTTAATCTTCATCAGCTCTTTTATTTCTAATTTTATTTGTAATTAATAACAGGAATGAAATACAACTGACACCAGATGCACATCCAGATACTCTCATAGAATTAACTATTATTATTATCGTTATTATTGTTATTGTTATTATTGTTGTTATTGTTATTATTATTATTATTATTGATGTTATTATTATCATTATTATTATTATTATTGATGTTGTTATTATTATCACTATGATTATTGTTGTTGTTATTATCATTATTATTATTAATATTATTGTTATTATTAATATTATTAATAATATTGTTATTGTTATTATTATTGTTTTTGTTATTATTGTCATTATTATTATTGTTGTTGATACAGTGAAACAGCTGACTGTGATCACGTCAGTCAGATCAGACTCTTGACTATAAGACGATTTATTTCAGATCAACATCTGACGTCTGATTATTTCTGACATGAATATAAAGTAATGACTCATTTTTTATTCTTATTCAAATGAGACATTAGTTATTACAGAAACCTGAGTTGGCCTCTCATCAGTCAGCTGTGAATCAGCTGAGCTCATGTCACCTGGAGACACAGTCTCACCTGTGCGTTTCTTCTTCTGTGGTTGTGCAGAGATCTTCTCGGAGGCGAGACGTCTGCTGGACTCTCACATCCTGAACTGGGGCTTTCAGTCCAGTAAAGACGACTACCTCCGAGTCCTGTGTGAGGCCGACGTGGTCGTCTCCACCGCCAACCACGAGTTCTTCGGAGTCGCCATGTGAGTTTCATGATTGATGAGACTCGTTCTGTCAATACTTTGATTTACTGAGGAAATCGTTTGTTCCTGTTACAGAAATCTGTAACAATTGAATTCTAATAATGAAAACAGAAAATAACAAAATAAAATAATCTCAGATTTTTAAAGAAGAAATAAATCTTACAAATATATCTGTGTGTGTGTGTGTGTGTGTGTGTGTGTGTGTGTGTGTGTGTGTGTGTGCTTTGTTTCATATGTAGAACTAACCATTATTTTCATTATTGATGAATCTGATATTATTTTTGTGATTTAATCAATTAATGGTTTAAAAAAAAAGCCGATCACAAAGAGTGGAAAGTGAAAGGAAAGAGATCAAAGTGTTTCTGTGCAGATCTTGAAGGTTTAAGTTAAAAATAAAAAACGCTTCTTCAAATCCACAAAAACACGTTGTTTACATGAATTAGTGATCCACTTCGTTACTGCAGCTCCAGTGTCTGTGAGAAACCTCAGTGCTCCTCACACTGCAGTGACTGTTTCATCAGGTGGTCTCTTCAGATCAAGGTGTTGTTTAAAAGAGAGACCTGGTAGAGTCCAGCACGGTCCTGTGTAGTCATGTATGGTCCTGTATGGTCCTGCAGGTGTGACCTTGCTGTTTGTTTGGATGTGAATCCGCCTTCAGCTCAGACTTCAGTCACCTGGACTCTGAGGCTGACTCTCTGATCTCAGTGCCGGTCAGGTGGATCTGAGCTGCAGGCTGGACAACAACAACCAATCAAATGCTCGGCTCTCTGAGGCACAGCCAATCAAACGGCTCTGATGTGAGTGTCTGATCTTCACTTGATTCATGTCAGACGTGTTTGTAGCTGATGGAGACTCAGTTTTTATCCACAGTTCAGACCTGATCTGGTTCATGATGAAATCAGACAGATTCATGATCCTCATCAGTCTGTTTAGTGACAATGTTAGCAAGTTAGCATTTAATGCTAAGATACTCACAGATAATTAACTTTCTAACATTTTATAATATTATTTAATTAGAACAAAAATTCTGTATCATTTCATCTTGTTAGCATGCTAACATTAGCATGTTACCATGCCAATGTTTATTTTCATTACCCCTTTCACTGCAGCGGTCTCCTTAGTCCGGGACACACAGTCCACTGGGGAACATACTAACACGTAGCATAGGAGCATGTTAAAGTCATAAGACATTAGCATGTTAGCATTCCATGCTAGTGTTAATGAATTGACAGCAGATGTAGATTCAGTTTGGTCATTATTTGAAGAAAACAAACAAACAAACAGATCAAATTTCTTTACTTCAGTGTCCTTCAGACAGTAAAGACAGAGTCCTCGGTGAAGACAGAGACAGTGTCAGTGAAGAAAGACAGTGAAGACAGAGACAGTGTCCTCAGTGAAGACAATGTCTCTGAAGACAGTGTCAGTGAAGACAGAGATAGTTTCTTCAGTGAAGACAGTGTAAGTGAAGACAGAGTCCTTAGTGAAGAAGGAGACAATGTCCTCAGTAAAGACAGTCCACAGTGAAGACAGTGTCCATGAAGACAGTATCAGCGAAGTGTCCTCAGTGTTGATATAAATAATAACCATAGTAACAGTCAGAGTATTCTCTGTGTAATGAGTGCAGACCTCTCACTGTTCCCTCCCTGTGATAACAAATCAGGAGCTAATTATGGCAGAGAGAAGAAGAAGTGTCGTCCCTGAGGGGGGAGTCGTGTTTGTGTTTGTCTTTGATCCAGAACCAGGAGGGACCAGACCCTCAGCCCCCCACAGAGCTCTGCTGAACCTCAGTCACAGTCTGAAGGTTTTCATGGAGAAATGTTTTAATGCTTCAGTGTTCACATGGAGATCAGGTTCTGTTCTTCTTCTGTGGTGCTCAGTGTTTTCTTGACTCACCGTTAACGTGTCAGATTAAAACACTTTAATGTTCGGGAACATCGTCTGTGTTAAGACTACAACTAAAGTCACAGTGTCTGTTTTTATTCAGAGGTGAATATTACATAAAATAATATACGCTAACATTAGCATACCCCCAGGCTAACATTTTTTTAACAAGCTAATGTTAAGTGTGACATAATAAAATGTTACCATCTGTAAACATGTTGAAATACTAATATCAGCATTTTATCATGCTAACCTTTAGCCTTTTGGCACGCTAATGTCTAAATGTTCAAAGCACACCTGAGCCTAAGCTAAGTTAGCAGAGCTGCCATGTTAAAGGACTGATATTTTCATAGACATTACATATAAAACATGATGATTTTGACATGCTAACTGTGACGGAGGTTATTTTCTCATTTCTGACATATTAACATGTTACCTGAAAACATGTTAATGTGGGCATTCTGTTGAAGCACAATAAAGATTGTGAACCTCAGTTCAGCTAATACCTGTAACAGTTTTAGCCACCAGTGTTTGCATGTTAATCTTTACATTATCAAAAAAATTAAAAGAAAATTATCTGAGACTAGTTTTCATATTAACAGTTGTAGTATGTGTAACATGGCATAAGGATCTCTGGCAACAGCTCAGGTTAACAAAATAAAAGCTTCAGTTTGGGTTGACAAAATAAAAGTTTCAACTCCGGTCGACAAAAATAAAGCTTCAGCTCAGGTTGACATAATAACAGAACTTTTCTCTTTAGCTTTCTCTTTAGCTTAGACTCTCACAGACGGTTTAATAACGATCTCTCACCAGAGTAGAAACAATAGAAACAGTAGAAACATCTTTGTGTGAGTGGAGCTGACTGTTCATGTGTGTTCGGCTGAATGTTCATGTGTGTTCAGCTGAATGTTCGTTTGTGTGGTGCTGAATGTTTGTGTGTGTGTGGAGCTGAATGTTCGTGTGTGTGGAGCTGAATGTTAGTGTGTGTGGAGCTGAAGGTTTGTTTGTGTGGAGCCGAATGTTCATGTGTGTGTGGAGCTGAATGTTAGTGTGTGTGGAGCTGAAGGTTTGTTTGTGTGGAGCTGAATGTTCGTGTGTGTGGAGCTGAATGTTCGTTTGTGTGGAGCTGAATATTTGTGTGTGTGTGGAGCTGAGGTGCTGCAGACTTTGATCCTCATTGTCATTAATGAGTTAAACTGATTAATCATGATGTCAGTGTTTCTGCCCCTCAGTGACGATGAACTCATCCAGTTAAAGATCAGATCATTAACGAAACATTAGCTCACATCAGACCAGCGAACTGAACTGACCTCAATAATCCTGATCAGAGACTCAGGAGCCGGACCTCCAGACCAGGACCCATCAGGACTGAGGTCCTACTCAGAGCTGGGTTCCATCAGGTTCTTGGTTCTGATGAAATCCAGTGAACGAGTCAGATCAGCTGTTTAAATATGAATGTGTGAGCGTGAGCAGTCCTCAATTATTCATCAAGTAGCTGCAAAATATTTAAATAGGTCACATGAGTTCAATCAGTCCTGGTTGTCATGACGACTCACACTGACTCACTAATGTTTAACAATCTGACTCACCTGATGCAGGTGTGAAGCTGCTGTTTTCTCTTCAGCACACACACACACACACACACACACACACACACACACACACACACACACACTGACAGCGGTTGTGTTGGTTGCAGGTCTGGATGAGACCAGTCAGTCCAGACCAGTAATGAGACTCTGCACCTCCCTCACAATTATCATTTCATATCATATTATATATTTTGTGTCCTCTGGTGTTTGGAGGTCATGAACCGTCTTCACTTCAGCTGTCACTGAGAGAAAATCACTTTTAATGAAAGTTGTCCTCACACTGTATCGGCTCTGGAAAGTTTATCAGTTCCACTTCACAATAACACTCCACTTATAAAGGGTTAATGAGTGGTTTATAACTAGTTAATTAATTAACTTGTTCACGCTTTATAAATCATTTATAAGCTGTTTTAACACATTAGATAAAAAGGCCAACAGTGACCTATTTCCTGCCAAATTAATAGTCCAGTCGGACCAGAGTCAGTGTTTGTACTGACTGTCCAACAGTTAAGTGAAAACATAGAGCCTGAGCAGACATGGTCTCAGTCCTGCACCTGTATGTACAACTGTCTGAATGTTTCCATGGTGATGATGGTTTGTTGTCTGTTCATGTGTTGACAGGTTGGAGGCTGTTCACTGTGGCTGTTTTCCTCTGTGTCCCAAAGCTTTAGTTTATCCTGAAATATTCCCAGGTAATAAATGTTACAGGTCGGTGTCATACTGGACACGTTGGTACTGAACCATTTGGCCCAGTTCAGAGTCAGGTGATTATTTACTGGTTACAGTGGTTTCTTCTTCTGCTGTGCTCTTCATGCAGCAGAGTACCTGTACTCCACGCCTGAGCAGCTGTGTAAACGGCTGCAGGGACTCTGCAGGAGGCCAGACGTCGCCCGCAGACACGTCGTCAAGGTAACTACAAAGAATTTTGATTTAATTTAAATTTGTGTCAAATCTTTTCATCCAGAAACACTGCATTTCCCATAATGCATTTCATCAGATGATTTACCGAAATGTAGGAAACGCTTCTTTAAATCAGTAGTTCAGCATTTTAGAAAAATACAGTTATTTTCTAAAATGTTTAAAATCTGTAAATTCAGTTTGTGAGGCTGAAACCACATTTTAATTTCAAAAACACGTTTTATCCCTTCAGGTGAGTTTTATGATCAAATAATATCAAACCAGATTCACACTGAACTTTTTTATCACACGTGGCTTTTGTTTCTGTAGTTTTTCTTCACCAAAACAAAAATAAACTAAATTCACATTTTGAATGGGAGGTTTGCTCAGGTAGAAGCTAACTGTGCTAACTCTCAGCTAACTCTGTGCTAGCTGGAGATCATGCTACTGCTTATTATAAGTAATAAAAACATACAGTAAGTTGTGTGTAAAATGAGTCTGTCGACTTGTTTTTGTTCCTGGATCTTTCTGATGAAGAATCAAATTTATACTTTACTGAAAAGATGAAACAGGTTGGTGACATCACTTCAGACCAATTCACTCTAACACCAGACTGTTGAATAGAACTGTGTCAGTTAAATTTTCTGAGATGACTTTTCACATAAACACTAGAAACATGGAGAAGTGTGAGGATTGTGGGGGGAGCTGTGCTCAGGTCCATGCGAACTGCAGATCTCACACATGTTGAACTGATTATTCATAAATACATGTTCAGTGTGTGTGAAATGATTCTTCTGTTGTGCAGGTCGACACCTCCTCCTTCTCCTGGACCCGTCTGAAGGATCGTTTTAAGACTCTGCTGGCAGACTCATGTCCCTGAACGCACTACGGACCAGGACACTGAGACTTGAGTTCACGAGCGTTGGAGGTTTGGAGGTTTGGAGTCGGTCTTCATCATGCCTGACTCGACGCCACGTCCCGCAAAAAGCGGCGGTGACGTCCAGGCCAAGCGTCTTGGGCACCTCTGAGCTCCGTCTGCCGAGCTGGAGACGCCAAGTCTGGACCTGTAAATGTCCCCGTCGAGCAGAACTCTCTTTTATGTGTGTGGTTTGGGGGGGGGGGGGGGGGTTTAAAGTGTAATAGCTTTCATGTTTCCACAGGCAGTGCCACCTCATATATCCGCCTGGATCCATTTTTATCCTTTGTTGTGTTTCTGTTCTTCACCACACGGACTGAGTGGCAGCCAGGAGCCGGGTCCAGGAGCCGGGTCCGTCTGCTGCTCCACCTGAGCTGCCAGGTTCAGGCCTGCAACCAATTATGTCCATCAAGTGGATCTACAGACGTTTGTTACCAAGGAGATGACAGCACATCACACATGAGCAACATGTAACTTTATTATGACTTTATCCAGTCCGTTATTAAAACGGGATGAGACCTGCAGCTCCATTTATTAACATCAATCTCCTCATGAGATTGTAATCCTAATCTATATCTGATCAATAAATAACTAATAATATTTATGGAAGACAAAAGATGAAATATTACACAGATCAATCATTTAATAAATAGTGTACTATAACGAGTCACAGCATGTGAGAAGAAAAGAGCTGAAATTATTTATGGAAGTTCATTTATGACAACACAAAAAGGTCTGATTTAAAAAAAACAACAAAAAAAATGTTACTGAGCTTGAAACATTTTTGTCTTTTATTAACAAACTTTTGTCTAATAACAAAATTAATTGTTAATTTAATAAAGTCAAAGTGACGTGTCAGCACATTCCTGCAAAGTGACAAGAATCTATTAAAAAGCAGTGAATCAGACGAAAATACACATTATAAATACAATAATATGATAAAGTCAAAATGACCTGATAAATAAAATTTACCAATCACACTTTTGCAGCTGGTAAATTAATAAATTAACAGGTAAATGAAAAAAATTAAGCTATTAGGTAAAAATGTCAAAAATGATTCTTCGGTACTGAAACAAAAAATGTGATAACAGAAAATAAAAGATACTAAATCTATGATGTAGAAAATCATGTAATTGTCATTTCTGCTAAGAAAAAAAAAGTTACACGTAATAAAAAGACTTTGGTTTGTCAAAATTATTTGATACTTTAGTTTTTATGAAACTTAATTGTAAATAAAACTAAAAAAAATTCTTCTGACAAAAATTTGAGACCAATCACGTTTCATCATCATCAGTACACATGGAAAACTTCAGTCAAATCTCAAGTCAGTCAGACTCACAGTGCAAGGGGGCGTGGCCTTAACGACAGCGCCACCATGGCTGATCAGGTCACATTTCTTCACAATAAGCCGACAGGTTCTGTCCCTTCACGGCTTCAACTTTAATCATGTGATAAATTTGACAAATTAAAAACATTAAGTGGAAAATCGTTGAAAATTATAGTTTTAAGTGGAAAAACAAGATTCAAAGTCTCAAATAAAAATATTAGAAACCGGAACCTGTATGAAATATGTATATTTCTATTTGAGCGGTTTGATGGATGGTCCAGCTCTAAATTTTAAAATAAATTCTGACTTTATGATGTCACTGATCGATGAAATAAAATATAAATAAAGTAAACTGTTTGTAAATATGAAGTGCAGTAGCACCAGACTGGTTCAGGTCACGACCCGATGACATCATAAACCTCCAGAACAACACGCTGCAAATAAAGTTTTTACAGCAGAGTCTATAAAACACAGAGGCATTAAAGCTTTTCATTGGCCTGTTAATATGTGTGTGGACGGAGCTTCAGGTCGAGGACGTGGTGTCGGAGGACTCGTCTGAGCGCGCTCAGTCTGACTCTCAGGCTGCTGTCTCTGTGGATCTGTCCTCTGATGCGTGGCTGCAGTGAGTCGCTCTCTGCTGTAATTAAAGCCTTTTACTCTGCGGCCCGGGGTCACGGATAAAGTCACAGCAGCTTGTTTGTGCGTGAGATGTTTGTGTCGCTGCAGCAGCTGAATCAGTGACCTGAGGCCTGGAGCTGAGACCTGCTCTCTGAACTCAGCCTCAACACGGAGACACTGACTGTCCTCTGACACGTTCACTGACACTCGGTACACAGGATTTCATTTTCATTCATATCCAGCCCCCACCCTCTTATAGATGTCTCTGCTGTTTGTGGCCAGTTCAGTCTCTGACCATATATTTAATATCTGTGTAATTAATTATGTTTTCTACAAAGTCTTTTGGACAATTTTACATCAAATGTTAAAAGTGTTTTTTATGATCAGATGTAAAGTTTCAGACGTTTAATGTTTCCATGAGTCAGTGACTTACACTGAGCTTCAGCTTCAGACCTGTTTCTCCTCCTGTATCAGTTTGCATGGAGTCAGACTGTCTCATTACCAGCAGCTGTGATCAGCTGTGATCACTTCCTGTCTGCAGTGTATCATCATGTTTTACTGTGAAACTGAAGGAAACTTGGAAACAGGATGATTCTCTATGAAGTTCTGCAGAGATGAGAATCTTCTTTCTTCATGACTCAAACACTGTCCACATATTTAAGGTTATGAGACCATGTATTAAAAATGAATTCAGATATTAATAGTAATTATACTGATGAATAAGAATAAATGAAAGGGGGAGAACTGGCACCAAATCAAACTCATTAGAAAAGATTATAAATGTTTTTCATTTTGTCATCAGCTGCGTTTCGTTACATTTTAGGGAAATGTGAAACATCAACATGAAATGTAGAATATGTTCATGTGGTTGGACAGTGAAGCCATTAAAACCTCTGTTTAAACATAATTCAATCAAAGGCTTTTGTAAGTTTAAATTTCAGGGTGAAATGTTGTTTCACGGTGTTTGTGAACAAATGGAGCTTTAATATTCCAGCTGACAGAGTCACAGAAGAAGAAGAAGAACAGAGAAATGTATGAAAGTGGAAGAAAAGCAGTTTGGTTTGAGGCTTTTCTGAAAACTGTTGGATTATCAACAAAGAACAGCGACATTAATTTCACGCTTCAGGAGTGAAGCTGGTTTCAGTCTGACGGCTCTGCACAGCTCTGATTGTAGCAACAACACCTCCAGCATCAAACACTCAGACAGACACACAAACACCCAGAGAGACGAGGTGTTGGTGACGATACACCCGGGTCCTCCTGACGTCTGACGGACCTGCTGCTCTGCTGGCAGCTCGTCAGCAGCAGCAGAGTTAGCATCATGTAACTGTGAAGTTCAGTCCAGTTCCTGTTCTTCAACCGACATGAGCATCAAACGTTCTGGTCTCTGCTGAACCTCAGTGACGCTGCTCTGTTGGTCAATGGTGGACATTAGCCTTGCTAGTAGCTCAATTTGCTAATGTCCTGTTTACACTGTCATTAGCTGCTAGCGTTAGCTGCGTTTAGTTGATGCTGGATGTCGCTGTGGCCTGCTGCTGTTGAATTGTTATCGTTGCCCTGCTAATGTTACTGATTTTTGCTTTGGTAGCTGATTAGCCTCATGTTGTGTTGTCCATTAGATTTGTTTCCACACGACACACTCCTGGATAACTAAACATTTTACCCTGTTGAACTAAAGTGGTAAACTTTAGTTTGCTGTTAGCTTTGTGACATGTTGAGTGCTGGTAGCTTTGCCTTGCTAATATTATGTTGTATTATGATGACAGCTTAGCTTGGCTACTGTTTTGTTAGCTTTGTCTTACTAACACACGTCTAGCTGCTATATTTGCTAACTGCAGTTTTTGTATTTATTGTACCTTTGGATTGCTATCATAATTTGTGTTGTCAGCTGGTGCTGGATCACGTTAACTCAAACTAAACTTAATGTTAATTCAAACTAAAGTTTGAACCCTGCTAACTTAATCATGCAAATGTTAGCTGATGCTCAGTTGCTGAAGTGACATAAGTTTTTGAGCTTTTTGCATAAATGATTCTGGACACACCCAGAAAATAGTTTTTTTTTACCCAAGGTGTTAGCTTTGTTCCCTGTTGTTCTAATGTATGAGTGGTTATAGCTTAGCTTAGTTTGGCTAATGTACTGTTAGCTTTGTGCCCTGTTGTAATGTATGAATGGTAATATCTTATCTGCCCCCCCTCCACAGTGTCCTGCTTTGTCACACCTGCCCCCAGCCTTTGATTCATTATTGTGAACACTTCCCTGGAAGAGGAAACACGGCTGTGTTTAAACGTGTTAGATAAATGTGTGTGTGATGTGGAAATGTAATTTATCCAGTTTTGTAGAGAGAGCAGCAGAAATAAAAGGAAACTTTAACCATCAGCATCAAAGCAGCTCGACTGTCGACTGTCAGCCACTATCTGGGGATTTATTTAAAAATGCAGTTGAAGTTGAAAGACCCATTTTTAAATGAAGGCCAGCCTCAGTTTTCCTTCAGCTTCAGAGGAAGACGCCCCTCCCTGGAGACGCCACAGCATTAAAGGTGCCGTAATTATCCAAGCGAGCTGCCAGCTCCACATTAGCTTTTTACCGCTGCCATATGTTAGCTGCTGCTCGCCGGTGTGTTCGAGAAGGGACAAAAGCGCGAGAGAGAGGGAGGGAAAGACGACGCTGTCCTTGTCTGACACAGTCATATGCTATCAATATACTGCCATGTTTTTAATGGGCCCTCTGGTTAGAACGTGGCACGCTGCGCCTCCTCTTTTTCATCTGATTTTCTTTTCTGAGTGAGGCAGCAGGCAGCCATCCATCACCGCGACTCTCCTCCGCTCTCCAGAAACTCCACAGTCATTATCTGACAGCTGCTGTGAGAGGTCTGGACTGAGGAGACCGTCTACTGCAGCAGGAACACTTCAAACCCTCTGGTCACTGTTCACAGTGGAGTATGTTCTACATGACACCACATGTTAGCATGCTTACATTGACCATACTAACATGTTCTACACAACACAACAGCATAGCCAATGACGAGGATTAGCATTAATGCTAATCTAAGGCAGGCAAATTATAAGGCAAGTAAATTATTTTCATTATTGGTTAATGTGCTGATTTAATCTGTTAATTATTTGATCTATAAAAAATAATCTTGAGCAAGAGATTGTTTAGTTTTTATTCTGTTTTTGGCCAATAATCCAATTACTAGAACATAAAGACGAGGAGCTGGAACTCAAATATTTGGTGTTTTTACTTGGAAAATGATTAAACAT